CCAGTCTGATGCCCCCTGCTGAGGCGGCCAGGCCTTCACAGGGGCTGGGGGACAAGCCAGGGTTCCAGCAGAGACCAGGTTTGCTCACCGGTGCCTCCCTGTGCGAAGGGACGTTGTGGTGCCCTTGGAGGTGCCCACGGGGCCCGGAGGGGAAGAAGGTAGTTTCTGGAACGTCTGCGTTCCCGGGGCACAGCCCGCAGGCCGGGGAAGGGGTTCTGGGGCATGGACCGTCCACGTGTCCACGGGGGAGAGGGGGGATTTGTAACTGGGAGCTTCCTACAGTGACCGCCTGGGGAGGCGGAGGTTCTGGGGGGACACCAGGGACTCTGTGGCTGGCTCTCCAGGGCGGGCGTCCCCGAGCGCGGTGGCCTCGTGCTGCTGGAACCTGCCGGCGTGTGTTCGGGTCGCTCCAGGCGGGGCAGCGGGGGCGAGATGGTCCTGATGGTGACCTGCAGCCTTCACAGGCCAGAGAGGAGGCCCCGTGAAAGGACGAGTCTATCGGTGAGCGTGACAGTGGGGGGACACCATCCCCCGGGGCCCAAGCTCTCGCCCAGGAGCCATCCCTGGTCCTCCCTGCCTCACCGGCCCCCCGCCCCTCACCGCCCCCCCAAACGTCCAGCCTCCACCCCCAGCAACTCCTTCTGGCAGCGGCTGGACGTTTGTCTGCCCTCAGGCCCGAGCTGCTGCTGCCCCAGCGGCCGCTACCACGAGCCTCCTACCGGCTGCCCCACTGCCACTCGGCCCTCTGTGTGCGTGGTGGCCCCGCAGCCAAGCAGGCCGCTGAACCCCCACGTCCCTGCCCCGTGTGAACCCTCCTGCTGGACGGCGAGGCCTTCAGTGACCCACGTCCTGCTTCCCCGGTTCACACCAGACGCAGGTGACCTGTCCACACCTCTGTACGTGGGGGGGGGGCGTCCTAGCCCCGCGGCCTGCAGGCCTGTCCCCAGAGCTCCACAGAGGGGGCGCATCTCCTCCGGGTCATCTGAGTGTCGCCGTAGCAGGAGGCCCCTCCTGTCACTCCTCGAGCCTCAGACCTCCGGCCACAGTCAGGGACCGTCCTCGTTTCTTCCCGTGCTCGCCGACCCGCAGTCCGGCACAGACAGGAACAGGAATGTCCGTCATTCTGTTGCTCACTGGGCCCCGAAGCCTCGGAGCAGCAACGGAGACGCCGCGAGTGCTCAGTGAATGCTTGCCGTCGGGGAGCACCGGGCAGGCTGGGCCCCGGAGTCCTGCCGGCTGCTCTCCGCGTCTGCCCGCCGCGCTGTCCCGAACGCAGCTACCCCGACACCGGCTCCAGTTGGATGCAGGGCCCCGAGCACCTGCGTGCCCGGACGGCTGCCCTAGATGACCGAGACCTGGCCGGGGCCAGTGCCTGGAGAAGCCCCGTCCGCGCCAACCATGCCCGCTCTCAGGGGGATATTAAGAGCTTCATCCGCCTCGTCCGACCGGTGACCAGTGCCCGGCAGGCAGGAAGCACTTAAGGAACCATTAGTTGGGAAGAAAAGGAAATGGAATCTGTACTCAGCACGCCCATCTTTCCTGGTCCGGTGGGGGCATCTGGTGGGGTAACCTGCGGCTCCATCACGCCCCCAGGCCTGCTTCTCCCCCTCCTCACATGCAGGGTAACAGGATATAGACTGAGGAGCTGGGTCGCCGCTGGCCATGCAGGGTTCGCTCACACGTGTGACACATCTTCTGCATTCCAGGACCTCACACGGGTGACACGGGACTGGAAGGGCAGCAGCCACTGCAGGGAATGACGACATCTGCGTCCTCAGCAGCAGACCTGCCCTGGCCTGTCCCTGCTGCGGCTGCGGTCTCCGCGAGGCCCCCGAGGGGCACGGGGCAGGGGGCCGCGGTGGCACGCAGACGGCCAAGCCGCTCACATCTTCAGGGCACGGGATGGGACCCCCCAAGCCAGCCCAAAGGCGGTGGCTTCCCCTGAAGCACGTGTAGGGTAAGATCTCTTTCCCTGCCCGGACACCTGTGATGAACTGGAAGGATGGAGCCGGCCTTCAGGACAACGCGGCCCACACCGTGGGCTGGTTGGGAGAATCCGACTTCCTGAGACCCCCCAGGGGCTGGAGAAGCAGAAGGCAGCACTGCCCTGCCCCGGTAGTAGGAGGGCCCACTACCCGTCACCAACCTGTCGTGCCTGCAGACCCTACGGGAGACACGACAAGGGAGGAGGCACTGAGCCCCAGGCCAGCCCCGAGAGGCCCCCCACAGTGACCAGGCGGCTACACGGGACCCCAACCAAACCAGTCCGACCAAAAGTTCTGCGCCTTTCCGGCGCCTCGCTGCTCCCGGGGCATCTTCCTGGCACCCACGGAGTGCCAGTCGCTGTGCTTCACCTGCGCCCTCACGCAGTGCTCAGGACAGCCCTCCATGCGGGCAAAGGGAGCGAGTGGCCAGGTGGGAGGGGGACCCCACAGTCTCGGGGCCAGAGGGATGACGCAGAAAGCTCATCCCCACCAGCGCCGTGCCAGGGCGCCAGGTGTCATGTGAGCAGCAGGCCCTGCCGGGGCACCAGGCCACGTGGAGAGAGAGCCCTGGGAATGCCCGGGTGGGGCTGGGTGGGGGGCAGTCCCCTGTCTCACAGCCCTCAGGTCGGTGGCTGCACATGTAAGGTGTTGAGTCTGAGCGTGTGTCCCCAGGCCTGGCCTGTGTCCCGCGGCCCCAGCTGCAGAGCCCACACGCTGATGAGCACGGGGAGCTGAGCTGTGCCCGCCGGAGAGGAGCAGGTGCGGGAAGAAGGACGCAGACACTGCAGGGCCAGAGTCCGGGCCCAGGGACGACAGAGGCCAGATGTGGCTAGAGATCGTGACTCCACCTCTCTCGGCCCAGCTGTGGGCAAGTGCGGGGAGGGGCCCGGGCCTCGGGCCTGGTCGTCCTGGGGTCAAACACCAGCCTCCCCAAGCTCCCCCCTTAGCTGGCTGTAGGATGGGGCAACAATCCTTGTGAGGACAAAAGGGGAGAACCGACCACAGGTCTGGCACATCGTGGCTTCCCCGCACCTGCCCTAAGAAAGGAGGGTCGCCGACACTATCCGGTCCTGGGGGCCCTTCTGGACAGGAAGGGGCAGGCTTCCCTTCTAACAGACAGTCCCACTAAGAGGGCCGACGAAGCCAGGCTTGGAGCTGCCGAGGGCAGAGAGGGGCAGGGAATGGCTGGCCCCGTGCTCCCACTCAGCCTGGCCGGAGCAAGTGTCTGGGGGCAGCTGGGGGAGAGCAGACCGGCACGAGCTACGGGCGCAGGGATTCAGTGCAGGGAGTGGACGGTGCGCCCCGCGGCAGGGCCAGCAGGCTGCAGGTGCTGACCCTCGGCCCAGAACCCCGTCCCAGAAGCCATCCAAGTGGGACCACTGAGGCGGGCAGCACTGCAGGGCTGAACTCCCGGGCAGCTGTGCCTCCCCGGAGCTGCCCCTCGCCTCCAGCCTGGCCATAAGAGATTATAATATCCCTTCAGAATAGCCTATGCCTGTGCCAGAAAGTGAGGGACATGCTCAGAAGGTGATGGGGACATTCCAAGGGACACTGGAGCCATCCTGTGGCTTCTCACCTTTGCTCACAATTTACAGCTTTGCAGCTGCTTCCAGGTTTTAAGCTCCCATCCTGTAGTATATCAGGGAAAACACACATCCTATAAACATCCTATAAAACCAGGACTTCAGACAACAGATCAGCAGCAGGCTTCCCCTCCCGGCTTCCTTCCAGGGACTGAGGAGCATGCACACGCCCAGCGTCCTGTCCAGAGTCTTGGTCTTAGTCCTTCTCCCTCCCAAAGAACCTGCCGCTGCCTTTGACTTCCCGAGCCCAGTGGGCTCCAGTCTTCAGCACCCCCCACTACTCACTATTTCTTTTCTGATTTTGATTCACAGAGACCTTATTTTTCAGCCTGGCATTGACTTTTTAATTTACTCTATATATTTCACCTATTTACTGTTTGGAGAAGAGAGGATACATTCAAACCTAAATTATCCAAAACATCCTAAAGGGAAATTCAGCCACATTCCGACAGTGTTCTTTTTAAAAGGTCATAGGTCAATCTATCAGACTGTAGCAAAAAGACAGTGGGAGAGAGAATCCTGGAAAGAAGGTGGCAAAGCAGTTCCCTTTGCCGTGGGGACCCAGCCAGGGGAGGACCAGCTGGGGGAGGAGCAGCGGGGGGAGGACCAGATGGGGGGAGGATCAGATGGAGGGAGGATCAGCCCGGGGAGGACCAGCTGGGGGAGGGCCACCCCGGGGAGGACATGTGGGAGGAGGCCCTTTGATCCTGGACTGAGGCACCAGCTCTGGCCAAGTCCCCAGTAGGGCTGCCCTGGTGCTGCTGCCTCACAGGGCAAGTCCCCAACCCTCAGGGAAAAGGCACTGATCCCAACACCGGGTGAGGACCACCTGGCTGGAGGAGGGGCTGCGAGCTCCCTAAGTCACCTGAGCTGCCTCAGGTCAGCCCAGGTGGGGAGGCTAAGGCGGGAAGGGGAGAGGAGGGTTTCCGTTCCCCAGGCCGGTCGGTCGCGGACCCTGAGCTACTTCGCCCTCCCCAAGGCCCCACACTTTCCCTCAGCGCCCCCGCGCCCCCTGTCTGCAGCCAAGCCCCTCGCTCCTGCACCGGCGACCCCCATTTCCTGGGCGGACCCCAGGGCAGGACCCTCCGTGGGGCACAAGCACATGCCGAACAGGGCAGGGACCCTGCCTGCGTCCCCGGGGCTCCCACGAGGCAACGAGGCAGCGGGGCGGGCCCGGAGCGGGGCAGGGGGGAGTGGGGGGCGAGCGGGGGGAGCCGGGGCGACGAGGGCAGCGGGAGCAGCAGGGGAAAGCAGGTGGGAGCCACCGCCCGCGGCCACGGGGGCCGGAGCCCGCCCCGCCCCGCCCCGCCCCGCCGCGCCCCTTCCGAGTGGGCGGGGCTCCCCGTGGCCGCCCTCCCGGGCCCGCCGCCGCCCGCCGGGTCCTAGCGCCGGGTCCGGACCCCGGGGCGGGCACCTGCGCTGCCTCTCGCCGGTCGCGGCCCGCGGGGTGACCCGGCGGCCGGCCTCGCCGCAGCTGCCCCTCCGCCCCGCCCGCCATGAGGAGCGCGCAGCCCCTGGTCCTTCTGTCCCTGGTGGCTTTTTGCCGGCGCGGTGAGTTCTCTTCCGGAGCGGAGGGGCGCGCCCGGTCCCCCGCGCAGCAGCAGCGGCCACAGGTGGGAGGCGGGAGGGCGGGGCGGGTGCTCGCCCGGGGAGGGGCCCGAGGCTGTCCCGGCCGGACGGGGTCGTGGGCGAGGCGAGCCCGGCCGGGACCTGGGGGGTCCGAGGTGTGGGGTGGGGGCTGGCCGTGCTCCCCGCGCACCTGCCCGACCGCCTCCCCGCGCACCTGCCCCACCGCCTCCCCGCGCACCTGCCCCACCGCCTCCCCGCGCACCTGCCCGACGGCCTCCCCGCGCACCTGCCCGACGGCCTCCCGCGCACCTGCCCGACCGCCTCGCCGCGCACCTGCCCCACCGCCTCCCCGCGCACCTGCCCCGACCGCCTCCCGGCGCACCTGCCCCGACCGCCTCCCGGCGCACCTGCCCGACCGCCTCGCCGCGCACCTGCCCCACCGCCTCCCCGCGCACCTGCCCCACCGCCTCCCCGCGCACCTGCCCCACCGCCTCCCCGCGAGGACCTGTGAGCTCAGCCCGGGCTGCGATGCATCAGGGTGCGGGACGCCGACTCCAGGCGCCCACAGGCTCCGTGGCAGCCCGGTGTAGACGTCAGGGAGCTCACCCCGCTGCCCCGCCTTGGAGAGGGGCCCCCAGGCTGCCGGGGAATCCGGAAACCCAGCCGGGACGGGAGGGGCTTGCCCAGATCGCCGACCCAGAATGCTTGCAGTTGGGGCCGGGTCTCCCAAAAACACACAAACCGGACACCGCTGCCTCAGCCACCCACTCTTGGTGCTGCGCTGGCTTGGAGAGATGGGCGAGGGGCCGGCCGGCGCCGTGGACCCGGGCCTCTGACACCTGGACGGGCGACCCATGGCCCTTCCCAGGCTGAGTCCCGGCGTGGCGAGGTCGCCTTCTCTGGGTTTCAGGATCCCCGCGAGTCCAAGGACTCTTTCAGCCCCTGCGGTCTGCCCGGAGCTTGCCCTCTGAGCCCTGGCTGGCCAGGAAGACCAGGATGCAGCTACCCTGGACGGGACACCCCACTGGGGGTGCAGGAGGCCGGAGTGAGAGGACATACAAGTTCCTCCGGGGCAGTGAAGCTGTCACCAACATGGCGTCCGCACCCAATGAGTGTGTCCGGGCCTGTCACCACTTGCTGGGCGACCCCATGCCACTCCCGTCGCCTCTCCGGGCCTCAGAATCCCCATCTGTTCTGTAGAAGGGACATGCCCTGCCTACATCCTTGGGACTCAGATGTGAGTCTGGTGCAGTGTTTCTTAAGCTCGGGCCAGGATTGCCCAGCACAGGTTCCTGGGCCCCACCCTGTCCTCACGGGATCGGGAGCTCTGGAAATAGAGCCTGGGAACCTGCATCCAGGTGATTCTTACACGTGACTGGAGATGCTACTCATAATATATCGTGAGCTTTTTGTAAAAAGTAAAAACTCCAACCTTTTTTTTTTAAATCCAGAGCTGCCTTTTAATAAATACAAATCTCCCGATCCTTTTCTCAGTTAAGGACACACCCAAGCTGAAAATCACTCTGCTTCTTGGATGCCGCTTTGCCAGGAGATTCTGTTGATCTTTAGCTTCTGTAGTTTGTGTTCCAAAACAATAGGTGTTTTTTCATTTTTCTAATATTAGGTTTTAAGATTATGCTTTTTTGACACACACTTAACACAGTTGAGGATTCAGGCTATGGCTTCCTCCCAGATTGTTAATCCCTTTCTGCAGGGGCAGGGGGCGGGGCTATTTGTCCAGAAAAGGCCTAGCAAGGACAGACATAACTCCCCAGAGCCACTGAGTCATGACTGACCCCTAGTGGTGGCCTCTCTGTTGCCGTGTGGACCCATGTGCTGAGGTGTGGCCCCCCAGAGGCTCCCAGGAGGCTTCCACTCATTCTGCGCCACACTTGTCGCGCAGGGGTGAGAGGCCTGTCTCTTGTCTTTTGAACTCAGCAGGCAGAAAGCAACACATAAGTGTTGTTCTGGGCTCCGGCTGCCTTTTTGGTGGAGATGGGAGTGCGTCCCATTCCCCGTGGGTCAGCCTGCTGGTCGTCCACCCTCCCACCCCTGCCTACACAGGCACACGTACAAGTGCAAACCTGAGAAGGCAGGAACACACGCTGGGCTGGGTCACCAACATGGTCTCCCTTTGAGGGCAGGACAAGGACAGAGGCACCGGGGTCTGGGGGGGCCCCCTCCCTGTGGGTGGCTCCGAGACCACTCTGGCTCTCACTGGCTGGGGTTCCTCAGGTCTTTGTCTTAGTTTCCCCAGATGAGAAATGGGGAACAGGCAAGAAAGTCTGAGGTTTTCAGAACTGCCAACTCTGGAGCCCACAGCCCGTCCCCAGGATGGGGAATGGACCTTCAGGCCGGCCGAGTGCCCAAGAAGCAGGGCAGCCCCAAAGGTGAGCACGCGGAGCATCCCAGCCTGCAGAGCAGCCCTGGCCTGTCAGGAACCCAGTGGACCGGCCTCCTGGGGCTACAGAGACGTGGGTCCCAGCCTCTCCCTGTCCTACAGGACCAGGAGCTGCAGATTCTGACCCAGACACACCTCAGAAAGGCCAGAGGGGCCTGGCAAGTGATAGGGACATGCTTTCTGAAATGACAGGTCAGCCCACATACACACACAGAACAGGCTGTGGGAGGGACCAGCTTTAGCCTGGGGCTGCAGACGGGCTTCGGGGTATTCAAACAGCTGGCCTCTGGGAGGGTCCAGCGGAGCAGAGGCAGAGCTCAGAATCTAGGCCAAGCATCCAGAGGACCCCTCTGGACAGCCCCAGGCAGCCTGGGGGAGGGACAGCGGGCAGCAGGTGCACCCGGGAGCATCTTTCACAAGGCACTAAATACTGCATCTGCTCCAGATAGGCAGCGAGTTGGAAAGTGCAGGCGGAGGCTGAGTGGCGGCTCCGCAGCCGCATGTCCAGCCCTGCACCCACCCAGGAGCCCACCTTGGCCTGGTTGAGCCGGCAATCTCGGCCCGGCCCTCTGGCCCCACCCAGGGAAAGGGTTGGGCAAAAAGCAGGGCCCTGGCGCTTCAGGGAAGGTGGCTGGTGGTGAGCTTCCCACAGGATGAGACCCAGTCCCCTGGGCATCCCACCCCCTCCTGGTCCCCACTCTGGCTGCAGCTGCTCTCCTGCCCCTGGCTACTTCCTCTGCACATCTCCTCTTCCCTGCTGCTGGGCTTCCGGCTCAAGTGCCTTTGACCTTCCTCAGAGTCTCCCTCTGAGGCACCGCCCCCAGCTCTGCCCTTAGCTGGCAGCAGGGTAAACAGGACCAAGGCCCGAGATCACCTTCAGTCCCAGACGAGTGAAGGACACATGGGGCAAAGAGCCACGTACCACTGGGCAAGAGATCCAGGACCGTGGGCACTGAGGGTGCAGGCCAGGCTTCGGGCAGGAGCCACACCTCTCCTGTCCGCCCAGACTAGAGCCAATGGCCGGCGGGACCCTGGCACCCAGGTCTCAAAGGCACCTTCGCTCTGGAAGTCTGAACTCCGAAACCTTTGCCGTGGTCAGTCCCGTTCTCATGTGGAAGCACCAGCATGCACCCCGCTCGGTGACACGCACCACAAACCCCCAGGCAGGTTCATTCTGGTGCTTTGCCTGCTCTCGTCTCTGGCACATACCATGGTGCCTGGCACAGGACGGACATGTGACAGTCGGTGGCCTGGGGGCAGTGCTGGCCGAGGAAAGAGTGGCCTCACTCGGAAGTAAGAGTGAACCGTGACGGGGCAAGGCTAGGGCAGGGATTGGGGGGACAGTGAGGGCTGGCTGGTGCCAGAGGCAAGGGGCTTTGGATGCTGAGCTGGCGCATCGGGGCTGCAGGCCGGGAAGGCCCTGGCCGGGGGACTGCTCCACGACCCCTGTCCCCCCGGGTGGCATGTGGTGGCAGCGGCAGAGTCGGGCCGGGACGTGGCAGGGAGGCTATAGGAAGAGCGGGAGAGGGAGTCCGGATGGATGGACTTGGGATACGGAGCACACCTGCGGCCCCCGTCTTGGACCAACCGTCGGGGTGTGGGCTGCCCTCCCGCAGAGGGCAGGGGGGAAGAGGAGGTGGCACCAGGGAAGAGAGCCAAGCTCTGCCTCAGCGCCCGCGGGGGGCCCACACGGCGGCCTGCAGCCTCTTCCCGGCCCGCGCTGGCGCGATGGGGCCCCACAGCCTGACTGCGCCCGTTTTCCCAGGGGACTGCCGCGTGGCCAACGCAGAGGAGAAGCTGGTCGACGACCTTCTAAACAGAACCCGCTACAACAACCTGATCCGGCCGGCCACCAGCTCAGCCCAGCTCATCTCCATCCAGCTGCAGCTCTCGCTGGCGCAGCTCATCAGCGTGGTAGGTGCAGGCCGGCCCCCACGGCGTTGTGGTGCACGGCTGGGGCCCGCGGCTTTGCCCACGCTTCAGGCGAGGCCAGATCCTCGGCCACTCCTCTTCCTTGTGCAGGAACTAAGGAGTCTGCTGAAGCTGTGAGGCCCGAGGCCCCGGTGCGGTACCTCTTTCCTCCCGGGAGCACAGGCTCGGCTCGGGCTCTCCCCCTGCACCGCACGCCTGCCCACCCCTGGCACACTGGTCCCAGTTTGGAGCCACCTGCTAATCTGGGATCTCGGTATCAATTAAAATGCTTTGACTTCAAGTCTGAGAACATCTGAACACCAGTGGCTAAAACAGTAAGAACGAAGCCACAAGAGCAGGCCAGCAGGGTCCGTGATGGTCGGCGGTGTTGGGGTGCTACGGGGCTGCACGTGATTCTGGTTCCCCCCACAGTCGTAGGATGGTGGCCACAGCTCCAAACGTGACATCCTCGCACGACAATGTCTGTGGCAGGAGCTGGCAAATCCTTCCTGGGGTCCTATGTCGACTAGGAGGACAAGCGTCCCAGAGGGCTGCCCTGTAGGGATCCCTGGTGTCCTGGCCCCGCCTTAGCCACAGCAGCTGTGACATAGGGAGACACAGCAAGGAAGCTGGAGATGGGCCGAGAAGTCTGTGGGGGTCGTGGCTTTGTTAACAGAGAGGATGTGAAGGGAATGACCCCTGGGGGGGCAGCCCACAGGCCTCCTTCCCGAGCCGTGTGGGGACGGGACCAGTGAGCGTGGGTGTGGAAAGGGGGCCCAGGTTGCAGAGTTCACAAGCTGGGCCGTGGGGTGGGGACAGGGGTGCGGAGATCCCGGGAGCTCCCCTTCTCCCCTCCTTGTCTCTGAGCCGACACGTCCAGAGGAGCCATGGCCCTTCCCGTCCCATCGACAGGGCTGGAACCTGCCCCAGGAGTGGCTCTGAGGGGCATATTGCAGGCACCGTGTGGGTCATGGGGAGGGAGGCAAACGGTGGGGCTGAGCCTCCTGGGGCAGGTGGCTGGCTTCTCTCCCCCCCTCCCAAACCACTGCCCTGCAGAGGGCTGGGGGGAAGGCCCCTGGGAGGAAGCACAGCCAGAGGATGGGGGAGGGAGGAACGCACTCTGAGCCCCACTGGAAAGAATAGGGAATTCAGGCCAAGCCAGGCTCAGGCTGACGGCAGATCGGCTGTTACGGTCCAGCCAGAGGCTTTGTGCTTAATAGGGTGAGCCAGCTGCCTCTCTGCAGCTGCCGCCCGGGTAAGGGGAAATAGGCAGGTGGCCCCAGGCACACTTGCAGGCAGAGGCCGCCCCTACCAGGCCTCATCTATGGGCCCTGTGAGGCAACAGAAGTTACCAAAAGGAGGAGGGCACCCAACCTCCACCCCTGCACTGTGAGCTGTGATCACCCTGAAAGCAGGGTGGAGACTAGGTATTCAGTTCTTCAGTTCTAGGAGCTGCTTCTTCTGTATTCCAGGGTCTGGTTTTCAAGGAGGGAGGGTTATGGGCAAGACTAGTTTATTTTATTTTATTTTATTTTATTTTATTTTATTTTATTTTATTTTATTTTATTTTATTTTATTTTATTATTTATTTATTTATTTATTTATTTATTTATTTATTTATTTATTTTGCAAGACTAGTTTAAAGATGGAAGCTTCTAGGGAGAAAGCAAGGAGTGTGTGCTGGGCATGGCAGCAGGCCCTCACAGTGCTCCCTGGGGCGGCCAGGTCTTGAGCTGGTGTCCTCAGTGCGTTCAGCAGCCACTGTGGGTGAGAACGTCACAAGTGATGTATCTGGAACGCAGGTGGCCATGTAATATGTTTGCTCAAACTGACCCAATTGCTCACTTAAGACCTATGCATTTTACCGTATGTAAACTTTACTGCAACTTAAAGAAATGTTTTTAAAGAAAGATAAAGGCATTCAGCGTTTGGTAAAGGCAGAGTAGGTTGCTGCAGACTAACTTTTCCATAAGAACAACTAGAAAAGCTGTATAAAAATGCCTCTCCCTGCACAAATCTGTTTGACAGTCTTGGAGAATGCACCCAGGTCTTGAGGGACCAGGTTCCGGGAGGTGACCCTTTGGTCTGTGGTGCTTTTCCCCACATGTGATGACAGGTACACAGTAAAAGCCCAAGGGGCTAAGAAGCTGAGTACAGCATGGTGGCCATGAGGCTGGAAGCCCAGCTGAATATCTGGTGCTCCTCCAAGGCTGGGGGCACATATCAGCATTTCAGCCCCACGAGATGCAGAGACCCTGAAAAGACCACCTATAAAAGTAAAAATGGATCAAAAATAGACCAGTCCTCAAAACAACTAAACATGCTTTGAACCAGCTCAGATACAGACTAGATAAAGGGGATCTGCCTCTCCTCTAACTGCCTGCCATTAAGCCAAAGTCAGTACTCCCTGGAGGCATATGAAGCTTACTAGGCACACAATAAGGCAAGATGAAATGAGAAAAGACCGAGAGAAAAAAGAAGACAATGGAAACAGATGCACAGATGATTCAGATATTGGAGTGATCCGACAAAGATTTTATTTTTTTTTAATTTTTATTTATTTATGATAGTCACAGAGAGAGAGAGAGAGAGAGAGAGGCAGAGACACAGGCAGAGGGAGAAGCAGGCTCCATGCACCGGGAGCCCGACGTGGGATTCGATCCCGGGTCTCCAGGATCGTGCCCTGGGCCAAAGGCAGGCGCCAAACCACTGCGCCACCCAGGGATCCCCCGACAAAGATTTTAAAGCAATTCCCAATAATGGGGCAAATTTTATGTTACATGCATTTTACCACTATTAAAAATAAATAATGAAGACAATTAATAATAAATTTTTCTGAATAAATTTTCCTAAAAGGAAAATAACAGCCATCTGTACATTCAAGGAATTTATAATGATGGAGAATTTAAAATTCACTGGATGGGGTTAATAGCAGATGGGTCATAGCAGAAGAGAAGGTTAATGCACTGGAAGAGAGGTCAATAGAAAATATCTAGACAAATGACCAGGTAAAGGATGCAGAAAAGACTATAATATAGTACATGACGAAAAGGTCAGCTCTATCCTGGGTCCTGGGAGTTCCAGGGAAGGAGAAACAATCAAACAGAAGCAGTGTGTGAGTGATACTGGCAGAACTTTCCAAACCTGACCAAAGACATGAAAATACAGATTCAAGAGTCTCTATGAACCCTCTGAGGGATAAACACAAAATCATACTCAGGCTCACCTTGGCAACTCCTTACAACCAAAGGCAAAGAGACGATCTTAACTGTGGTAATGGTGGGAGGATGGGGGCGAGGTAGGGGCGACCATAATAATGACAGCTGAACATGGAAGCCAAGATGCTGAATGACACTTTAAAGTCCCACAAGAGGGGATCTGGGTGGCTCAGCGGTTTGGCGCCTGCCTCTGGCTCAAGGTGTGATCTTGGCGTCCCGGGATTGAGTCCCCCATCAGGCCCCCTGCGTGGAGCTTGCTTCTCCCTCTGCCTGTGTCTCTGCTCTCTCTCTGTCTCTCTCTCTCTGTGTCTCTCATGAATAAATAAATAAAATATTAAAAAAATAAAGTCCCACAAGAACAAAACTGCAAGCCTAGAAGGTAGACAACCAGTGAAAATATACTTCAAAAATAAAGGTCAAATAAAGATGTTCTTAGGCCAAAAAGAATTTAACACAAGACGAGCAAATCCTAAAGGACGTTCTTTAATCATAAGGAAAACAATCCCAGATGGAAACATTGAAACGTAGGAAAGAGTGAAGCACAGCAGAAAGGGTCAATGTATGGGTGAATTTAAGTTAAATCGACTGTATAAAACAATAGTAACTCATGAGGTTTTAATCACATGTAGAATTAAATAATGACAGCACTAGCCTGCTTCAGGAGGGGACAGAGGGTGCTAAAATGTTTGACATCCTTGCCCTGTTCTGGAAGCAATACAGCTACTCATTTATATTAGATTCTAACACATCAGATACATGCGTATTATAGTCACCAGGGTAGCAACTAAAGAAGAGTCCTGTTGCTATGCACAGAAAATGGAATGACAAAATAACTAAAACATAGCAAGAAAGAAGAGGAAATGGATGGTGTAGAAAACAGACTGTAGGTTTAAACTCAAATAAAATCAGGGATCCCTGGGTGGCGCAGCGGTTTGGCGCCTGCCTTTGGCCCAGGGCGCGATCCTGGGGACCCGGGATCGAGTCCCACGTCGGGCTCCCGGTGCATGGAGCCTGCTTCTCCCTCTGCCTGTGTCTCTGCCTCTCTCTCTCTCACTGTGTGCCTATCATAAATAAATAAAAAAAATTAAAAAAAATAAACTCAAATAAAATCAGTAACTAAATTAAATGTAAATGGCCTAAATAATTAGTACAAGACAATGTGAGGATGTCAGCTGCCTGGATTTCCAGAAGGAGGGAATAGCATGTGCAAAGGGAGGAGCAAAGAAAGGAGCGCACGTGGGAGAGTGCTGGGGTGTGTGCCGACTGGAGCCCATGGGGAGGGTGGAGGGGGCAGCCGGTGTAGGGCCATGTCTGTGCTGAGCAGGACTTTGGCTTTTACTTTGGGTGGACGGGGAAGGAGGGGGTTTCAGCAGAGCTGCATAGTCTGAGAAGATGAGAACAGCCTTTGGGGAAGTTCACCCTGGCTGCTGAGACAGCCTGGGTGAGGAGAAAGACCACGGGGCAAGGAGGAAGATCGAGGGGCAAGGAGGAAGACAGGGTGGGAAGAGGAAGATGGGGAGCAAGGAGGAAGACTGGGTGGGGCGGGGGAGGAGGCAGATGGCCTGGGTTTGGGGGGGCCAGGGATCGGGGCAGATGCTGCTGGCCGCCCAGGCAGCCGGGCTGAAGCAGACAAAGCTGCGGCGCAGCAGGCAGCGTCTTCAGGACTTGGGGTCAGAGGCCCCGGTGTCCGGCTCGTGGAGTCATCGCAGGGCCCGAGCCAGCGCAGCATTGGTCCGGCAGGTTCACGAGCTGTGGCCCACACGCTGGGGGGTGGGATTCGACCAAGCCGTCCCAGCGACGGTGGGCAGCAGCTGGCCACCTGGCAGAGCTCAGCGCCCTCGCCTTCCTCCCCCCTCACCTCCCCGTTTCCCTCCCCAGAATGAGCGTGAACAGATCATGACCACCAACGTCTGGCTGAAACAGGTAAGTGCACACAGGATCCGCAGCGGGGGGCATGTCCTCCGGGGCCGCCCCTTGGTGGTGGCGACCTCGGAATGACAGGGCCTCGCCCGCGTGCGCAGGAGTGGACCGACTACCGTCTGGCCTGGAACAGCTCCCGCTACGAGGGCGTCAACATCCTGAGGATCCCCGCCAAGCGCATCTGGCTGCCCGACATTGTGCTTTACAACAAGTGAGGGGCGGGGCTGGTTGAGGAGGTGGGGGGTGACAGGTAGAGGAGGTGGGGGGTCCGGGCAGCAGGCAGAGGAGGTGGGGGGCGGGGCAGCAGGTAGAGGTGGGGGGGCCCAGGGCAGTAGGCCCAGCCTCGGGGAGTCCTCGGTCCCCACACCAGCCCTGGGCCTCACCTGTGCCTCACTCACCGAGCCGCGCCGGGCGGTGAGGCTGCAGGAGGAATTAGAAGAGGGCAGCGCCAGCAACCGCCACATGGGTGGGGAAGTGGAGGCCGGGGGACGGGGGTCACCCTGGCTCCTCAGGCACAGCTGGGACCAGGGCCAGCATGTGGGCTACGGCCAGGGCTCGTTCCGTCCCGCCTCCTGGCTGGCTGGCCCTCACCGTGTCGATGCTGGGCGTTGGCAGCACAGTCTCTCCGGTCGGCCGAGGGGCCCGGAGAGCCTTGTGGGCTCAGTGTCACCAGCAGCATGTGAAACAAGCCTGAGGTCTGTGCACACCAGGCCTGGGTTCGGGTTCTAGGTGTGCTTCTTCCTCATTTTCTGACCCTGAAGACGTCACCTACCTTCTCAGTATCCCCACCCATCGGACGGGGATGCTACTAAACCCCAGGGCCGTGACCCCTGCTGTCCCGTGAGGGCAGCGGGGCCAGAACGGCGACCACGGGGCAGGCCTATGGGCTGGCCGGCGTGCTCATCGCACTCCTCTCGCGCCCCCAGCGCCGACGGGACCTACGAGGTGTCTCTCTACACCAATGTGGTGGTGCGCTCCAACGGCAGCATCCTGTGGCTGCCGCCCGCCATCTACAAGAGTGCCTGCAAGATCGAGGTCAAGCACTTCCCCTTCGACCAGCAGAACTGCACCCTCAAGTTCCGTTCCTGGACCTATGACCACACGGAGATCGACATGGTGCTCAAGTCACCCACGGCCAGCATGGACGACTTCACCCCCAGCGGCGAGTGGGACATCGTGGCGCTGCCTGGGCGCAGGACGGTGAACCCGCAGGACCCCAGCTACGTGGACGTGACGTACGATTTCATCCTGCGGCGCAAGCCGCTCTTCTACACCATCAACCTCATCATCCCCTGCCTGCTCATCACCTCGCTGGCCATCCTGGTCTTCTACCTGCCATCCGACTGCGGCGAGAAGATGACGCTGTGCATCTCCGTGCTGCTGGCGCTCACCGTCTTCCTGCTGCTCATCTCCAAGATAGTGCCGCCCACGTCCCTGGACGTGCCGCTCATCGGCAAGTACCTCATGTTCACCATGGTGCTGGTCACCTTCTCCATCGTCACGAGCGTCTGTGTGCTCAATGTGCACCACCGCTCGCCCAGCACCCACACCATGGCGCCCTGGGTCCGGCGCTGCTTCCTGCACAAGCTGCCCACCTTCCTCTTCATGAAGCGCCCCGACAGCAGCCCCTCGAGGGCCCCCCGGCCCGGCCAGCCGCAGCCCAGCGGGACCGAGGCCGCCGCCCCCCAGCCCTACGGGAGCCCTGTGTACCCTGTGAATCCCACACCTGCGGCCCCCAAGTCCCCAGCGGGCTCGGGCTCCGGCGTGGGGTCCACGGCCCGAGACCTCCGGCTGAGGGCTTCCGGGAGGTTCCGGCGGGACGTGCAGGAGGCCTTAGAGGGCGTCAGCTTCATCGCCCGGCACATGCAGAGTGACGACCGAGACCAGAGCGTAAGTCTGGCCCAGCCCCACTTCCCACAGCCCCTGCCCGGGGCCCCCAGCTGCAGCAAGGGACCCACTGCTGGACCGAGTGTGTGGTTTCCTGCGTTGGGGAAGGGGAAGGAAGGAGCGAGGATCCCTGTTTGTTTTGGGGTCCCCCAAAAGCAGCCCCTGAGGTGAGGGCCTGGGCCAAGGTGGTTCAGTGTGGGTGACCTCAGGAAGCCCAGGAAGGAGGCAGCCCCCGAGTACTGGGCTCTGGGGGCTGGGTCCTCGGGAGACCCCATGAGGAGCAGGGGGCAGAGGAAGGCAGAGCGGGGCCGCGGGGCTGGAAGGTGCCCAGCCTGGGGGACCAGGGTGGGCATCTGTTCCTGCCCTCACCTGCCCGTGGGGCAGCCACACAGGTGGCCCCGGCGACGGGGGTCAGAGCCCCGCGGCCCAACGACGCTGCGTCCAGGGTCATAATGCCGAACGGAAGACGATTACATTTTTTGGAAGATTTTTTGTTTATTTATTCATGAGAGACACAGAGAGACAGAGAGACACGGGCAGAGAGAAGCAGGCTCCATGCAGGGAGCCCGAGGCGGGGCTCGATCCCCGGACCCTGGGGTCAGGCCCTGGGCCCCCCGGGCTGCCCCAGAGTCTTAAAGACAGGTCGAGTTTACCTCCCCAGGACAGAGGACGGTCTGCGGCCCGGGCAGGGGATGCTGGCCTCCGTCTGGCGCCCCCCGGAGGGTCCGGGACCCGCTTCCACGCCCCGCTGCCAGCAGCCGCATACGGGGCGCCCCACGCACAGCCCCAAACAGTGGTCGGAAATCAGGGCTGTGGGAGCGAAACCCCAGGGGCAGGGAGAGGCCGCAAGGGGGCGGGGGGAAGGGGAGAGAGGGGGAGGGGCGGGGAGGGGACGGGGAAGGGAGCGGGTGGGAGGGCGCGCGTGGCGTGGGGGCGGGGGAGGGGTCTGGGGAGGGAGGGAGAAGGGGCGGGGCGGGGGGCGCAGGGCGGGGCGAGCGGGGAGGGACGGGGGAGGGGCGGGGGGCGAGGGGCCGGGGAGGGGCGCGGCGGGGGCGGGGCGGGGGCGGGGCGGGGCGGGCCTGGCGGGGCGGTTCCAAGGAGCCCAGACCAACGGGGCCGCTGACGTCACCGGGTCCGCCCAGAGCCCCGGGCCAGCCGCCGCCGCCGCGTCCTGCGAGTCCTGCTCGGGCCACTCCCGCGGGGTCATGGGCGCGGGGACCCCGGCTCAGCCCGTCCCCAGCGCACAGCCCACAGCGGCCCGGGGATGGGGTCGGGGCGGTGAGGACGCGGCACGGGGAGGCTGCCCCGCGGCCGGAGGAGCGGAGCCGGTTGGGGACCAGGCCCTGGGGCAGCGGGTTCAGCAGCGGCTTCCAGGCGTCCTGCCCCCAGGCGCGGGGTGCGCCCCAGATCCTCCTTTGGGTAGAGCCGGCCCAGGGAGGGGGCTGGGCCTGAAAATAAGGGAACTGGCCGAGGATCCCCGGGGGGCTCAGCGGTTTGGCGCCTGCCCTTGGCCCGGGGCGTGACCCTGGGGTTCCGGGATCGAGTCCCGTGTCGGGCTCCTGCATGGAGCCTGCTTCTCCCTCTGCCTGTGTCTCTCTCGGTCTCTCTTTCTCTCAGTGTCTATCATAAATAAATCAATCTTAAAAAAAAATAAATAAGGGAAGGGGCCTCGCATTCCCAGGCCACCGGGTGGCTCTAGGTCACAGCACGGCCCTAATAACCCTTCCTGGGGATCCCTGGGTGGTGCAGCGGTTTGGCGCCTGCCTTTGGCCCAGGGCGCGACCCTGGAGACCAGGGATCGAATCCCAAGTCGGGCTCCCGGTGCATGGAGCCTGCTTCTCCCTCTGCCTATGTCTCTGCCTCTCTCTCTCTCTCTCTCTCTCTCTCTCTGTGTGACTATCATAAATAAATTTAAAAAAAATTTTTTTTAAATATGAAAAAAAATAACCCTTCCTGGACGGCCCAGCACCCCGGGGGCCTGCAGGGCTGCAGGGCTGGGGGTGCTGGCTGGGTGAGGGCCGGGGGTCCCAGCCCCAACAGTGAGGGCCCCCCTCCGGGAAGGAAGGGGAGCAGGGAGGTCCCGGCACCCGTAATGGGCCCTCTGTCTGCCCACAGGTCGTGGAGGACTGGAAGTACGTGGCCATGGTGGTGGACCGCCTGTTCCTCTGGGTGTTTGTGGTCGTGTGTGTGCTGGGCACTGTGGGGCTCTTCCTGCCGCCACTCTTCCAGACCCACACCCCCTCGGACGGGCCCTAGGCCCCCAGGGTGGCAGGGGGGAGGTGGCACAAGCAGCCAACTGGGCAGTTTGCTGCTTCCTTCTGAGCGATGGCTGAGGAGGCCCTAAGAACATCACCGCGCGCAAACCACCAGTCAGGGGACAGGATGGAAGCCCCAGCTGTCATCTCTGAAAGCCCCGGGGAACCCAGCAGAACCCCTCCCTGCACCGGGGAGTACGCGGGGCATCACAGCCGCACCCCTGTGTGCCAGGAATCCTGCCCGTAGCCCGGCCCAGCTGTCACCCCATCGCTCTCCACTCCCCCGCCCACCAGCCCATGGGACTCCTCTCAGACCCCTACACACTTCTGGATTCTTCCAGCTCAAAGCCTGTGCATTTGCTGTACCTGCTGCCCCGCCCGTCTGCCCGGGGGCTGCGCCCTGGCTGCGGTCCATTGTCTGCTCCCATGTCCCCTCCCCGAGAAGCCTTCCTCGGCCCTCCTGGGCACCTCAAGTTCTCAGTGCTGCTGTGTCGTTCCACGTTGCACCCACTTGAGTGTGAGCTCTGAGACAGCAGGAAGTGTCCTTCGTGCTGGCGGCACCGTCCCCAGGGCATAGGCCTGAGCTCAGCACCCAGCAGGTGTTTAATAAAGGTTTGTTGAATGAATGAATGAATGAATGAATGAATGAACGACTCCTGTTCCTTCTTCAGGCTCAGGTCCTGTCCTCCGAGTAGCCATCCCTGTGCCCCTCCTATGAGAATGACCCTCTCCCGCGCACTCCCCAGCCCTGGTCACATGCTGCTTTGGAGCAAGGTGGAGTTCCCAGTGTCCCTACAGATGGTTTGATGCGTCAACACACCCGTGGCGCCCAGCACCTGGCACATGATGGGTCGTTAAAATACTTGTGCAATACAGGAGCACTGAATTGCATATTTTAAATTACACAGTAAAGTTGACTTTTACGTAGTGTTCTCTCCCCATTAACTTGATGTGTGTCATCAGGACACAGGAGAGCACGGTCACCCAGACGGCTCCGTCCCTGCTGGTCCCTCCAACCAGCACTAGGGTTTGGCCTTTACAAGAACAGCATTCCAATGAATCACACAATGTGTCCCTGCTGGAGAGGGGTTGGCTTTTGTCCCTCAGCGCAGGCCTCTGAGACGCCCCTGTGTCGTCACATGCACGTACCAACCCGATGTCCTGTGAACGCTGATCCACAGTTATGTACTTACCAGTTCTCAGAAACTATGAACAGAGCTGCTATCAAATCTCCACACGTATGGGATTTTGTGTCAACAAGAGTTTTCATTCGTGTAGATGAACACCCAGGAATGTGATCGCTGGGTTCTGTGGGGAATGTGCTTTAACTTCTGAGCCCGGGATCCCTGGGTGGCGCAGCGATTTGGCGCCTGCCTTTGGCCCAGGGCGCGATCCTGGAGATCCGGGATCGAGACCCACGTCGGGCTCCCAGTGCATGGAGCCTGCTTCTCCCTCTGCCTGTGTCTCTGCCTTGTCTCTGCCTCTCTCTCTCTCTGTATGACTATCATAAATAAATAATTAAAAAAAATTTAACTTCTGAGCCACCGTGGCACTGGGCCCTGGAGGCCACAGCATCTTGCATCCCCACCCGCACAGCGTGAGAGGCAGCAACCCTCGGCATCTGTCTGCAGTTGGTGTCGACTGATTCGAGCCGTCCCAGTGGATGTGTGGAGTATCAGCCAGCTTTTAACAGGCGTTTCCCTGGTGGCTAATGCTGCTGAACATCTTTTCACGTGACTTTTTTTTTTACCTTTTTTTTTTTTTTACTTTTTTTGCCTGTGCATACATGCCCTCTTTCATAAACTGTGTGTTTAACTCTCTTGCTCATTTTTAAAATTGGGTTTAGTTTTCTTACTGTTGAGATTTTAAAAACGACTTTATTAAGGCGTGACATATATAGTATAAAATCCACCCTTTTTAAATATATAATTCAAGGAGTTTTAGTAAGTTTATCACCATAATCCAGTTTCAGAACACTTGCCCCACCCCCAACAAGACCCTCATATCTATCTACTCTTACTTCTGAGTTTTCAGGGTGCTTTATATCTTCTGGATACAAGTTCTTGGTTGCATACCTGAGTTGCAATATTTTTCAAATTTAGGGGCTTTTACCTCGAGATTGAGAATGCTCTACAGGGGGCCCGAGAGATTGGCCCCAATTCTGGCATTTCCTGAGTCCTGCAAAAGGTCTCCTTTGGTTTGGGTTTAAAGCAACCCATCCTGGGAATAACAGAGAGGCCTGGGTCGCAGGTGCCCCCGCCCCGGGTGGGGGGCGCGGAAGCCAGGAGCCTCCCGGGCTGCACCTCGTGGCCTCAGGTCTTTCCTTCTCTTCACTCCTTAACGAGGAGCCCTTCAAACCGCCCGGGGCCCGCAGCCCCTCCTCCGTCCCCAGCGGTATCGGCGGCTGAGCACGGGGCGCGGCCCCCGCCGCGCCCCCGCAGCAGGACGACGCGAGGCATGGCAGTACCCGCCGGCGAGACCCCGCGCGTCCTTAGGGCGCCGGACCGACCCCGCTTGGAGGGCGTGTCCCTGCCTCTCCTGCGCCCCGCGGCCCTCCTCCCGGCGGCGCTCGGGGTGGGGGGGCCCCACCGCGGGAGGGAGGCCGGGCCGCCCCGCACGCCCCGCCTCCGCCGCCGCGCGCAGCAGCCGAGCCTCCGCTCACACCCGCGGGAGGGGCCGGCGGATGGCTCGAGCACCAGCCCCGCGCCCCAGCCCCGCTCCCGGGCATCGCGCCATCCCCCCACAGTCCGGCTCTGCACCCCGCGCCGCCCCAGCTCCGCGCCCCAGCTCCGCGCCCCGCGTCTTGGCGTCCAGCTCGCGCCCCATCATCGCGCCCCGCGCCCCCCCCCACCGTCCGGCTCTGCACCCCGCGCCCCAGCTCCGCGCCGCGCCCCAGCCCCGCCCAGCTCTGCACCCCGCCCCCCCCACCGTCGGCTGCACCCCGCGCCCCAGCTCCGCGCCCTGGCATCGCCTCCCCCCGCCCCACCGTCCGGCTCTCCTCGGGCTGCGCCGGAGCCGCGGGGACTCTGTGGGGAGCATGGGTGCCCACCCGCGCCGAGCCGGGGTCCCGCGGCTCCCGCCGCTGCTGCTGCTGCTGCTGCTGGTGTTGCTGCCGCCAGGTAGGGGCCCCGTTTCCCCTACGGCCACCCCTCCACCCAGAGGCGCGGGGGTTACGGGGTGGGCGCCCCGGGCGTCGGTTCCACTGCGCATCCGGCCCACGCGCTCGTGCTACCAACAGATGGGGAAACTGAGGCCGGGGATGGCGGGAGAGGAGGCCGCTGCCACCTACGGGAGGGGCCATCGCTGCGAGCCTGGGGCCGCGCCCCCCACGCCCGCCCCCTGCGGGTGGGAGAGGAGCCCGGGCAGGAGGAGGGCCCCGGCGCCAGGGGCTGGCTGACATGGCCTGGGCAGGGCTGAAGGGGGACATGTCGGGGGACCTCCTGTCCCTCGCGGCTGAGGACCCCACTGTTTGGGGGCACAGCAGGCAAGACCATTCCAAGTGGGGCAAGCTGGCTTAGCCTCCCCAGGGATCCTGCCCTCCGACCTGCAAGTGGGAAGGCAGGCAGCTGACTCACCGGCGCTTAGCAACCAAGGGGTGGCCTCCCCACCCCACCCCCCACCCCTCCATCCCCCTCTGGGGGGGTCAGGTCTTTGATGAGGCCGGAAAAAGATCCAGCAGGACCCGGGGTCTCACTCCCAGATCACGGAGCCAGGGAGACGCCCAGCTTCTCAGAGGGCTGGGGGCCAACCCCCTGCAGGGTGCAGGGCAGGCTGGAGGGGCAGCGGCACCAGGGTGGGGCTCCTCCGGGGGGTGGGGGGGGACTGAGCCCTGGGCATGGACTGGCCACGGTGCTTCCTGGAAGTGGTGGCCATACCTGGGCTGCATAGCAGGTGAGGGGAGTGCTCGGCTCTCACCCGGGACCCCCACTAGCAGCCCACCAAGCGGACAGAAGCGATGGATGCTCACAGGTAAAGAAACAAGTTCCAAGCTTACGCAGCCTCCAGGCAGCCGGGCAGGGTTTGCACCAGATCTACCCACCTTCCGGCCCAGGCTTGTGACCACGGTCTCCCCCTGGATGTGTGACCCCGGGTGTCTCATGGGCCTCAGTTTCCCTGTCTGTAACTCGGGGGAGTGGGCCTCGTCTGAAGTCTGGAGCTCCACAGGCCCGTGGTGAGACCGTGGTGGGTGGTGTCCCTGGCCAGGGAAGGGTGACGGCTGCTTCCCTCAGGGGCCCTGGCCTCCGAGGCTGAGCACCGCCTATTTGAGCGGCTGTTTGAGGATTACAACGAGATCATCCGGCCTGTGGCCAACGTATCGGAGCCGGTCATCATCCAGTTTGAGGTGTCCATGTCTCAGCTGGTGAAGGTGGTGAGTGCAGAGCCGGGCGCAGCTGTGGGGTGCGGGCCTCTGCGGAGCCTTCCCCAGCCGCCTCGGTCTGTAGTCACGGTCGCTGTCGCCTCCTCCAGGACGAAGTAAACCAGATCATGGAGACCAACCTGTGGCTGAAGCAAGTGAGTGAGGGGCCTGGCGAGCTGCTGCCTCCGGTGGTGACCGCTGCGCCTGCTGCGCCACCGGGAGGACCGGCGACTGGCCCCGCGGGGCCCCCTGGGCTGGGGTCCCTGCACTGTTGCATGGTCCCCCTGGCCGGGCCCTCAGGACCCCAGTGCCACCTGGAGGGAGAGACCTCCACACACAGCAGACAGGCACAGACATGCGCTGCTGTCCCCCGCCACCTCCTCCCCTTCGTGCAGGAACCGTTGTTCGCAGAAGCAGATGCTGTCGGCTCCTTTGGTAGCGCGGGGGCAGGGGCTCCCGGGCTCCCCTGTCAGAGCGAGGCCAAGAAACCGGCCCCACGTGCCCCACCCCTGGGGGCTCTGTCCGCACCTTGACCAGTGCCTCCCTGGACTCCTGCGATGGTCGCGGCCAGGAGGGTGCAGTGCCCCCCCCCCGCCGCGCCTGCCACCCCTGGCCTTTGCCCGGTCCCTTGTCAGGCCCCAGCGGGCTCACGGCTCCTTCCCCAGAACCCCTCCCACACCAGGCTGCTTAACCCCAAGGCGGGTTAGCGCCTGTCCTCGGGGCTGGGGGGACGTGTGCCCAGCCGCCCTGGAGAGCCACTCGGGCGTGTAAACCGCGGGCACTCAGGCACAGCCCGGCCAGCCTGTGCCCACAGCGGCTACGAGACCCTGGTGATCTGTGCCGCTTGCCCTGGAGGTGGCTGGAACACTCAACCCAAGCTGTCCCCCCAACCCCCGCACCCGCACCACGGAGGTGGGGCCCCACAAAGGGAGGAGACTGTGCTGGCCCTGCCCCCTGCTCCCCTGCCCCTGCCGCCTCTCCGCAGATCTGGAACGACTACAAGCTGAAGTGGAACCCCGCGGACTACGATGGGGCGGAGTTCATGCGCGTCCCCGCGCAGAAGATCTGGAAGCCAGACATCGTGCTGTACAACAAGTGAGTGCTGGCGGCCCTCAGCCTGGGCCCTTTCCAGGGTGGCTGCCTGGATGAGTGCCGCAGGGATTTACTGAGCACCTACTGTACGCCCGGTGCCGGACTCCCGCCGCCTGCCACACCCCGGAGGGCAGTGTCCCAGGGTGCGGCCGGGGCGGGGAGCCGGCCACCAGGGCCCCCACCAGGGCCGATGGGCCCCGAAGGCCAGGACCACAGAGAGCCCCACACCCCTGCCTCTGGTGCCCCGCGTCTTGTAGGCTCTTCCTCTGCAGGTCCCAGCCTGCCCACCGTGGCACCTCCAAAACCAGCCTGAGCACCTGGCCGTGTCCACAGCCAAGCTGCGTCGTGGGCAAACATGTTCTGAGTTCAGGTTCTCTGTGCCGGATTAGCAGACGCGAAATATGTCGCAACCATTAGGACTGAAGGTATATTTCCGGCCGAGTCCCACTTTCTAGTCGCTGGCTGAAAGAAGGGTCTTGTGCCACTCCACAGAGGGCCGTGGTTCGGCTTGGGTGTTTTTAATGGTTTTCCAAGGAAAAGCATCGCTCGTCGAGGCTTCTTTCATACATCTTGTGTTTGTAGATGGAGTCTCCACACAACTGGGACACAAGAGGCCCCGCTGGTCTGCAGCACAGGAGCAGCCCCAGCAGCCTCCTGACCCAGGGGCCGCCTGGGAGGTGGCCGCGGTGTGGGGAACCGTTGCTAAGCTAGAATCAAGAAAACGTGCAAAAATTCTAATGTCATAATTTGAATGTTAGAGCTGCTTCCTTGCTGGCAGCCGTGGGCGAACAGCGGGGGGTGTCAGGGTGTGAGCCTAACAAAGATGGGCCTCAGGGAGACGCTGCAGGTGGGATGTGGCGAGGAGCAGAGGGCACAGGGAGTCTCCTGAGAGGGACTCAGCAGCTCCTGCCTCCCAGTTAGAGCTCGGGTTCTCTGCACGTCCCCGGGGCCACGGCGCCCTCAGAGGACACACGGGCACGAACGGTGATGAGCTCACGACTCACGGCAGCCCCTGTGGTACCAGGCAGGGGACATAAATCCGTGGCCGAGCCCCAGCTTCCATGAACATCTCTGAAACGCTGACCCTGTCTTCGGGTACGAGGTGTCGCTGTGAAAATCTGTGTGCTCGGGTGAAGTTGGGTGGCCCTGAGAGGGGAAGGGATACCGACGAGCTCGCCGCGGCCACGCAGCGCAGCAGGACTGTCCCAGACACGCGACTTCCCTTGCCTAAGCCCCGCCGCGGCCGCGGGACAAGCCGTTTCCTCAGTCCCTGGACAGATCTGTTCCACTGCGCTGGTCTTCCTCTCGGGCCCTTGTAAATCAGGTTACCTGTCTGCTCTGGGGCTGCCCCGGGACGCGGGCCTCCGCTTGGGGCTTGGGGCTTCGCGCGTGCACGCCTCTCGCACCGCAGCCCCGCAGACGCTCCCGCGCAGACGTGGCCTTTGCTGAACGTTGCGGACGGGCCTGGGAGCCTCTGGGCCGGGGGGCCCCTGGGTGGTCACGGCCACCGCGCTGCTCCTCTGGCCTGTGAACATCTTCTTTCTCTTCTCAACCTGTTTCCGACCCCGTTTAACTGGGGTCCTACCCTAAGCAGCATTTTTCTTGGAGGTGGGTCTCTGTGCTCCGAGGAGGGAGTTTGGGGGAGACCTCGAGCCCGCAGCGGCCCCAGGGGCCTTGCCCGCAGGCCCTCTGTGCACCCCACCACCTTCTCGGTTCTCTGCAGGCCGGAAGCTGTGGCCCCGTCTCACTGCTCCCCCTCCCAAGGCTTCTGCACACGGTGGATTCTGTGTCTGGGGCCCTGGGGATGCAGGACCTCCCTGTCCCCCACCCGGCCAGCCCCCCACGGTTGCAGGCAGGCCCCCGTGCTCGCTCCGGTCCCCACACTCCTACTCTGAAGCTGCTGGGGTTGCGATGACCTGACTTTGGGGACGTGGTCAGGGGGCTTTCCTTCGTCCTCCTGCTGCCTGTCTTCCCACTGCAGGGAATTCAGAGACAGTGTCCACACAGCTCGCCGCCCTTCCCCCTGCGAAGCTCAGGCTCCCCTAGTGCAAGCCCTCGGGGTCGCGCACCCACCCGCCTCCTCTTCCCCTTGCAGGGCACCCGGACCCCTCCCACCGTGTCTCTTGCTGCCCGCTGGCTCCGGACACCCCGAGGCGGAGGCCATTTATTTTCAGGTCATTCTTTTCAGTCCCTGTCTGGCCGCGCCATGCCGCTGAGGCCTTGGTCTCCCCTGCTTGCTGGTGGCGGAGGCCAGAGCGCACGCTGCCGCCCGGCAGACAGGCCTTCGGGTCCGGATCCCCAGAAACAAGCGGAAACGGACACCAACCCCCAGGCACACTGATCCCTGGTGTTTGGCCTTTGGGCGCACAGGTGGTTTTGCAACCCCTCACTTGGGCCCCAAGCCCCGCAGGGTCGAGGTTCCGCCGCCATTTCTGGGTGGGAACCCCGGGGTCCGATGCTTGCTTCCCCTCCAGGAGGACGCGGGCGCTGGACTGGAGCGGGCCTGGGAGCCAGTGGTTTGGACTCTGGGCCAGTCTCAGCCGCAGCCCCTCCACCGTCTGCCCTGGGGTAGCCGTAGCCCCAGGGACAGGGTGGCTGCTTCGCCCCTAGGATGGGGGCCCGAGGCCGTGGGTTTCCTTGAGCCTGGGCTCCGCAGGAGGTTGCTCTGGGGCCTCCGTCCTCTGGGGCTCCTCTTGGCCCCGAGCAGGCCTTGGGGGTCCTTCGGGAGGATGAGGCCGGCACCGGCTGCTCGTGGAGCCAGAGCTGGGAGGAATGGCATGAGAAAGCATGCACCCACGGCCGGGAGCGGAGGCGGAGCCTGGGGTCTTCACGTGGGCCACCGAGGCTAGGGAGGTGGAGGTGGGGACCGGCAGGACGCATCCCTCTGTCTCATGCGGTCAGGCTCAGTGGCACGGAGCGCTCAGCTCTCCCGAAACACCCATTGTCCTCCTTCTAGCTCCCGAGGTGGACGGGGTGGGTCCCTCTGGGGGCTTGATGCAGAGCGCGGGGCCCTGGAGTCCCCCTGCAGGGCCCACTGCCCTGTCCCTGCGGACTCCGTCGGGCTCTTTGTAGACAGGGGAGGAAGTGGGGGCAGCTCGGAACCTGGAAGGCAGAGGAGCCCTAGTGCAGGATTTGAAAGACAAAGAATCAGAAACCGTGATTGTTGACCCAGAGGAGCCCTGGGGAGCGGGGGGTGGGGGTGGGCAGAGCAGTGGGCCCCACAGCCTGGCCTCACACGCCCGTGTGCACATGGGAGGCGCCTGCCGGAGCCCGAATGAGGTGCTGACCAGGTCCGAGGTCTAAGCCACAGCAGAAGGGGCAAATACCCCCAAGGTTTCCTGCCTCAAGGACGACATCCCCCCAGGTGCTTGTAGGGGAAGCAGACCCTTTGTGGCACTTGGGAGTCCTAGTAAACATCGGAGTCTTGGAGGGCGCAGGGAGGTGCCCGGGAGTGGGTGGCGGGGTGGCGAGCGCGCAGGGTGAGCTCTCCCACGGGGCAGCTTTACAGACGGCACCTTGCACCTGCCGCGGGCGGTGCGAGAAGCTGGCCCGGGGCGGCGGTGGTAATGGCGTGTGTCTCCGCAGTGCTGTCGGGGACTTCCAGGTGGATGACAAGACCAAAGCTCTCCTCAAGTACACGGGGGAGGTGACTTGGATTCCTCCCGCCATCTTTAAGAGCTCGTGCAAGATCGACGTGACCTACTTTCCATTTGATTACCAAAACTGCACCATGAAGTTTGGCTCCTGGTCCTACGACAAGGCCAAAATCGACCTGGTCCTCATCGGCTCCTCCATGAACCTCAAGGACTACTGGGAGAGCGGCGAGTGGGCCATCATCAAGGCCCCCGGCTACAAGCACGACATCAAGTACAACTGCTGCGAGGAGATCTACCCCGACATCACGTACTCGCTCTATATCCGCCGCCTGCCGCTCTTCTACACCATCAACCTCATCATCCCCTGCCTGCTCATCTCCTTCCTCACCGTGCTCGTCTTCTACCTGCCGTCCGACTGCGGCGAGAAGGTGACGCTCTGCATCTCCGTGCTGCTGTCCCTAACCGTGTTTCTCCTGGTCATCACCGAGACCATCCCCTCCACCTCGCTGGTCATCCCACTCATCGGCGAGTACCTGCTCTTCACCATGATCTTCGTCACGCTGTCCATCGTCATCACGGTCTTCGTGCTCAACGTGCATTACAGAACCCCGACCACGCACACGATGCCCACGTGGGTGAAGACCATCTTCCTGCACTTGCTTCCCAGGGTCATGTTCATGACCCGGCCGGCGGGCAGCGACGGCCACGCCCAGAAGCCCAGGCCCTCGTACCACGCGGAGCTCTCCACCCTGAACTGCTTCCGCCGCGCCGAGACCAGAGGCTGCAAGGAAGGCTGCGCCTGCCAGGACGGCACGTGCAGCCACTGCCGCCACCGCAGGATAAAAATCTCCAACTTCAGCGCCAACCTCCCCAGGAGCTCCAGTTCTGAGTCCATCAGTGCCGCACTATCCCTCTCGGCCCTGTCACCGGAAATCAAAGAAGCCATCCAGAGCGTCAAGTATATCGCCGAGAACATGAAAGCACAAAATGACGCCAAAGAGGTAAGATGTGTTACTCCCATCGGCAGATGCTTGGCGTGGGTGACGTTAGAGCCGGGGCCCAGCGGGCTGCCCTGTCCAGGGAGCTGTCCCTGCATGTGCTGTGTCCCTGCGGGCCCCGCCCAGGCCTGGCGGGACCTGGTCGCAGAGGAGCCGGAAAAGGGCGCTGGACTAGCCTCCTCCCCAGCCCTGGGCAGCCGCGTCCCAGGTGTCACTTTCCAATTCTGTTTGCCCCCACTTAGGCATCGGCTATATGCCTCTTGTCTTGCCTAGCAGAGGGCATGAGAGACAGAGTGAGCGCAACAAGGGAGTGGGGGGGAGAGGCAGGGGGAGGAGCAGATTCCCCGCACGGGGCTCGACCCCAGGACCCCGAGACCATGACCTGAGCCGAAGGCAGCCGCTTCACTGACAGAGCCCCCAGCGCCCCAAGTACACGCCTCTTTTGTGTTATGTGTACACCCCTGTCACCCTGAGCTGAGTAAGGACGTGGGGGTGGTTCCAGTACCCCTTCCCCGTGACCCCCCACCATGACCGATCCTGACCCCCTGGATTCCGGTTACCTTCCTTGGACCTCATATAAATGGAATTGCACAGCACACACCCTCCCGCGTCTGACCTCCTTCCTTCAGCAAGAGGTCTTTGAGGTTTGTCCTGGTTGTTCCTGTTGTGTAACGTCCACAGCGGGGCTGGGCCACGTGCTGCCGCTTCATCCCGCAGCTGCTGCACTTGGCCCTTCTGGTTTTGGGCTATTGTGAGGAAAGGTGCCGTCCGTGTTCCTACGCCCGTGCCCTGCTGAGCGTCTGCACTCGTGTTCCTTGGACATACACGAGCAGTGGGGTGGCCGAGGGCTGCGGAGAGGTACCTTTAACCTTGGGGATACCGCGAGGTTTCTGTGTGCGGGGCCAGCGGGCGCCCCAGCCCCGGATTGTCTGAGAGCGCCAGGACCGCACACCCCGACCCCGACACCTGTGAGCTGGTGCCTCCTTGCCGTTCCAGTTGGCTTCTCCCTGCTGAGTAGTGACTTTTTCAGACCCTTATTGGCCGTCTGTGTACTTTCTTTCGTGAGGCATCCCCTCACACTCTCCTGCTCATTGTCTTTAATTGGGTGAACTTGTATCTCCTCCACCGATCTTACATGGAAACCAACGTCAAGTACTAGGAGGGAGGTTTTCCACTAATATTGTGCGTCCGGCTCCTCCTGACCCTCTGTTTCCCCACGAGGTTATCAGAATCCTAATTTTCTTTTTTTTAATTTTTATTTATTTATGATAGTTACACACACAGAGAGAGAGAGAGAGAGCAGAGACACAGGCAGAGGGAGAAGCAGGCTCCATGCACCAGGAGCCCGATGTGGGATTCGATCCTGGGTCTCCAGGATCACGCCCTGGGCCAAAGGCAGGCGCCAAACTGCTGCACCACCCAGGGATCCCCAGAATCCTAATTTTCTAAGAAGCTCTGCTTTAAAATTAATTGGCTCTGCCTTAAGTTGCTTATTAGCAAAGAGCTCATTGCCAGACCTCGGGGCCTGAAGCTTGGGTGGGAGATTAGCCCGACGGGCCTGGATGACAGCCCCTCCCTGCCCGCTCTGGCCAGTGTGCAAGTGGGGGCATGAGGGGCTGCCTGTCCCCGCGCCCCACCCACGAGCGCTGCGGTGACTGTCACAGCCCCGCAGTCTGGCCAACAAGGCCCGCACACGTTTAACTTCCGTGGGAGCAAGCAGTGGAGCCCAGTGCGAGGTCCTGAGACCTCTCTGAGGCTCATGGCGCTTGCAGGCGCTGCACCCTGCCCTGCCTGCCCACCAGGCCCTGAGCAAGCCAGAAGCTTAGGAAGGATGCAGGTGTGTGGCCGTGGGTCGGGAGCTGCACCCCGGGCTCCCCACAGCAGAGAACACTTGGTAAAAGTGACACTAGAAGGGAAGCCGCCGCTGAGATGCCGGGAAGATAGGTCAGCGGCAAACTGGTGGCAGGGGGTCCCCCGGGGGGGCGCTGTCCTTCCAGAAATAGCAGGAATCCGCGCAGCCTCACAGGGCCCACAGGTGGTGGGCGGGGCTCCTGGGAGGCTTCCTGTCTGGGGCCTGTGGTCCCCAGAACCTCACTGCGAGGCTGGGGCACGGCTGTGCCCCCCCCCGGGGGCTGCTTTCGGGGTCACCGGGGGTTCGCACTTGGTCTCCTCAGTAAGGAGCTTGGTTGTATCAACCCTCCGGGTTGGGGCCCCCCTGGACGCGCTCTTGGTGGATGGTCCAGGAAACAGCGGCTCCGGGGGCAGCTGGGGGGGTTCGGGGGGCTCTGGGGGCAGCTCAAGGGGCAGCTCCGGCCGGGGGGGCCTCCAATGGGGGCTCCAGCAGGGGCCTGCAGGGGGCTGGTGGGCGCTCCAGGGGAGGGGGGCTCCGGGGGCAGCTCCAGCGGTGGAGTCGTCCTCGCGGTCGGAGAGGTGCGCCCCGGCCCGCGCAGGGGTGTCCGGGGCTCTTGGTCCCGCGACCGCCCGCCTGCTGCTGGGGGAGGTGCGGGTCGCTCATCGGTGCCGGTGCCGCGGGGCCCGCAGGTCGCCGCCGCCTGCCCTCCCCCCGCGGACTCTTCCTTCCCTCCTGGTTCCTGCTCTGCGCCGCCCGCCGAGTCTGAACCGGGTCCGGAGCCCGGAGTCCTCACTGCTGGGCCCGCCCCCTGCCCGCCGGGCGCCCTCCGCGCGCTCCCCGCACCCCTCCCCGCACCCCTGCGCCGCCCTCTCCGGGACTGTGGCTGAGCATTCAGGGACCGCGCGCTTCGAGGCCAGAAACACTCATTTGTAAGGGCTCAGCGGAGACCAAAGTCTAGACTTGACGTTCTTTTCCTTGAAAAACACGAGGCTGCTCCCCCGTGACCGCGACGGAGCCTGAAGCCTCGGCCCAGCCCTGCCTCCACGCCCCCGCCCTCACCCCTCCTCGCGGTCCTACCTGCCCCCCTCCCCTACCTGCCCCCCCCCCCCTCCTCGCCGGTCCCTCCTGCTGGCTGTCCTGTGTTTTCAGACTTTTCCTTGACTTGTCTGATTTGGTGCCGTGACCCTGCTTATTCTACTTTGTGTTTCTAATACCTTGTCATCTCCGCGGGTCTCATGTTTTATTTAAGTCGTTAACCTGTCGCGTGAATTTCCTTTCAACTGGTAGTTTGTGTCCGGTGGCCCCGTAAAGTCACTTCTCCTGGGGGTTCAGCCATCCTTGCTGGGTTGTGTTTGGGGAGGCTCCAGAAGGCCCACGTGGCCTCAGACTAGACCAGGGCCCTTCAGAGGTGCCTCCTTCCCGCCAGGTGACCTTGTCGCTCAAGGGACGGCTCGGCCTCCTGACGTTTCGACTCCGGCACAGTGTCTTCCGTGCACCTGCCCCTCTGGGCAGGGTGTGGACAGGCTGCAAAGACGCAAGGCATGGGGGGTGAGAAGAGCACAGCCCAAAGCTGTCCCCAGCCCACCCTCGGGAGGCCCCACCTGGCCGGGAGCGGCCAGCCCCCAGCACACAAGGCTCCTCTTGCTTCTGGAATGTTCCAGGGCCGGGCTGAAAGAACCAGCCAAGATCTTGTGCTAGTTCAGCATCTTGCCTGATGCTTCTCTGTTATCATTAGTTCCAAAGTTTCCAGAAAACGGCCCGTAGCATCGTGCCTCCAAGACTCTAGCAGCTAGACAAGTTAGTTCGCAGCCGGCTCTTGGTGCAGCTTGTGCTCACAGGCACCGGGCGCGGTCCGCAAACTGCTGTCAGAGGAGGATCCGTAGTCAGAGAAAGGTGGTCTATCAGCGTGGTGATCCTGAGGCATTGTCATGGTGCCACGTGCCAGCACGTCTTCTCACTCACTGCCCAGCGAGCACTGCTGGTTTTTACTATCTAAAGTCAACGAATTAACACAGAGTGCATTAGCTTCAGACGTCGGTGGCTCATCGAATACAGAGCTCCCGTGCGACCCAGCAACTGCGCTACTGGGGATTTACCCTGTAGACGCAGATGCGGTGATCCGAGGGGGCGCCTCAGCAGCGGTGTCCACGAGAGCCAGCCTGTGGGGGGAGCTGAGATGGCCTCCGACAGGTGGACGGATAATACGGATGCAGTGTAGATGGGGCATGACTCAGCCATCGGAAGAATGGGCTCTTGCCATTTGCAACGCTGTGGATGGAACTAGAGGGTATCATGCTGAGCGAAATAAGTCAGAAAGAGAATTATGGTTTGATTCATATGTGGAATTTAAGAAGCAAAACAGAAACATAGGGGAAGGGAAGGAAAAATAAAATCAGAGAGGCAGACAAACCATGAGAGGGTCTTAATCGCGGGAAAGAAACTGAGGGTCGTGGGAAGGGAGGGTGCAGGATAGAGGACGCTGAGTTCTGTCGGTACCTGCATTTTACAGACAAATCGAGGTGACGAGAGGTCACAATTTCTCAGACACTAGGATTGAAATCAGTGTCTGCTTCCCCCTCTGCCTGCGGCCACCAGGGCGTAGCTGGCAGCGCAGCGGGGCGGGATCACAGGGTCTATTGTGCATCTGCGGCACTTACAAGACACCAACTCAGGAATTCGAATGGACTACCTGGCAAACATGGCATTACAAGTCTAATTTTAGCCGAGGCTGTCTGCAGGGGCCCGCATCTACTTCAGCTCACGATTGGGAAAGAAAACGCTTGTCTCCTGTCTCCCGGCCCCATTTCACTGCACTTAATTAAATTACTAAATCACATGCTGCCTCTTTATTATGTGATTATTTCTTCAAAATCAGTTGATTCATGGGTTCTCTCTTTTTCAATTCAATTATAGTTTCCTTGCTTTCTGAGTTGTCTAGGAGTATAATTAACACACAATGCTCCTTCCTATTTCAAGCCTGAACCAAAGCTGCGTCAAATGCAATTAGTCCTGCTTTCTTCCATCTCTTACTTTATTGTCAGCAATTATTTCTGATTCTCAGCCTCTCCGATCGCTGCGCAGAATTCTGTGATACTTTGGCCTCACAGGTGAAGAGGATCTTTACTTGCTTGGGCCTGGGGAGGGGCCGTGGGGATGACAAAGATGGCCTTGCCCTGCTATGCTTCTTTTATGTGGAAACAGATGCTCAGAGGAAATTAGTATCTAAAACTGGGTAAGAACAGTACCTGGAAGCGATGGTAAATGACAGGTGGGTTGTTTCAGCTACTCTCACGAGGTCCAGGAGTCCTCCCACAGGGGCACAAGTCAATAACTTGCTTTACTAACCTTATGAATTAGAAATGGTTAGGAAAAAAAATGTATGGGGCACCTGGGGGGCTCCGTTGGTGAAGCATCTGCCTTCGGCTCAGGTCGTGATCTCGGGGTCCTGGGATCTAGTCCTGCATTGGGCTCCCTGCCTAGCGGGGACTCTGCTTCTCCCTCTTCCTCTGCCCCTCCCTGCTGCTTGTGCTCTCTAAGAAATAAAATATTTTTTAAAAGAAAGAAAAAAAATAGATTATATATGTTAAGAAATTTGTAGGTATTTTTTACAGAAAGCCCTATATCCAATGTGGGACTTGAACTCACAACCCCGAGATCAGGAGCCACAGGCCCTATGTGGCTCTACCCGTTGGGCCAGCTGAGTGCGCTGGGAACTCGCTGATCCCAGCAGAGTACCCGTGAATAGTTTACACGTGTTTCTCGCAGCGCACGAGGAGAAACGTGAGGACAGTGGCGCTCCTCAGACCTCACTAGGGACCCGAGGTTTCTAGCGTGTTGGCGGCAGGGCGGCTCTGCTGCCGCGTGTGTATCCAATGCTCGGTACCGAAACCCTGTTCACTCTGCCTTCCCGTCATGCTTTATTTTTTCCTCTTTCACAGCGTTTATTTCTGTTTTTCAGATCCAGGACGACTGGAAGTATGTTGCCATGGTCATCGACCGCATTTTTCTGTGGGTTTTCATCCTGGTATGCATTCTGGGCACGGCAGGGCTGTTTCTGCAACCCCTGCTGGCCAGAGACGACGCCTGAGCGCCCAGCGCTTGCCGGGGCCGTGCTCGTGGGGGGGACGGGCGGCTCTCCCATGGGGAAGTGCACGGACCCGCGGCCGTTGCCATCTTCATCCTCTCTGGGTGTGCAGGTCCTGGTGGGACACACCGTGGCGCTGCCACGCAGCCCCCCCCCCCGCCCCGCGCCCAGGTGCTCGGCTTGTAGGACCTCGCCTACCTTGCCCCACACGAGCCGACGCACGGGGTCTGTCCTTCTGCGACCAGCCTATTTCACGGAGCAGAATGTCCTCAAGGCTCCGCTGTGTCGTGTCGCAGCAGGTGTCAGACGTCTTTGTCTCCGAGGCTGAGGACGCTCCCACGTGTGTAGCTTCAAGAGCCGCTTGGGCGGCTCCGCAGTGCGGCTGCCACCGGTCGTGCTGCTGTGAACCGGGCGGACAGGGACGTGTTGGAGACCCTGCCTTCTGTTCTCTGGGGTCCGTGCCCAGCCGTGGATTGGCTCCTGCAGTAACCCTATTTTTAACTTTTTGCGGAAGCAGCGTCCTGTTTTGCACCGTGGCTGCACCATGTCGCACTCCCCGAGGGCTCAGTCCCCGCATCCGCAGCAGCACTGGTTCCCTGATAACAGCCGCCACCTCCCTGCGGTTTTGATTTGCATTTACGTGATGATGAGTCACGCTGAGCATCCTCTCAGTGCCTGTTGGCTGTGTGTCCTGTCGTCTTCTTTGGAGAGATGTCGTCTGTTCGGGTCCTTTTTCATTTCTCAACTGAGCTGTTTGGGTTATTTTGTTAAGTTTTAGGAGTTATCTAATTATTCCAGATGCTAACCTCCTATCAGACATGTGGTTTGTAAATATTTTCTCTCACTCTGTGGGTTGTCTTTTCACCCTGTGGATAGTGTCTTCTGATGCACAAAATCTTTAAATTTTCATTAATTCCAGTTTGTCAGTTTTTTGTCACCTGTGCTCTTTTGTGTCACATCCAAGAAATCACTGCCAACTCAAGTGTTGTAAAGAATTTCTCCTGTTTTCTTCCAAGAGTTTTATTGGCTTTCTCCCATCTCCTATCATCAAGCTACCAGCATTGTTTGTGGCATTTCAAGGTTTGCTTATTTATCCAGTTGTCTTGATTTTATCAAAAACGATTCATGCAAGAAAAATGTCAAGCGTATTTATTATAGATAAATGAACATTTAAGCAGCCTTTTTGGTAAAGAAATGTCAAAATACAGTTTTTCTGCAATGTTAAGTAGTACGCTCTACTACAGAATATGTAAAAGTGGCCTAAATAAGAAAACTGTTTCCGTGTTTGTAGTGGTTGAGGCCTAACTGAACAGGAAAACTTGTTCAGAAATGCGAGCCTCCGTTTGGGTCAGTATCACAGGTTTCCCGAGGGTTTTCTTGGGTAGCTGCAATCTCCTCGAAGTTCGGGACTATTTCAGCAACACCCCGCCTGCTGCCTCCGGGACCCCAGCACACCGGTCTGCCGCGCCCCACCACGGAGCCTGCGCCCCTAGCCCGCATCGGCCCCGGGGCCTGCGCGTGAGGAGCTGGCCTGGCATCGCAGTCACGGCCGGCAACCCCCTGGCCAGCAGTTCCCAGCCTGGGCTGCACCGGTGTTTCCGCCAGATAGTGCGGCGCTCAAAGGACTGTCCTGTACATCGTGGGACCTTCAGGCCCCCTGGCCTGTGCCCGCTAGACACCAGTGACACGGCCCCGGTCCCCTGCCGGTTGGGCAACCAAAAATATCTCCAAAACCCAGGTGTCCCCTGGAGGGCAAAACTGCTGGATTGAGAACTGCTGCCGTGGAGCCTCACGTGCTGCAGGCGGCGGGTGAGCAGGCGCCACGAGGAGGGGGGCTTCGCGGAGACCAGCTCCATCTCCCCCTCAAGTCATTCTGATGCTTTGGCTGCAGAAATAAAACTGACGAAATTGCAGGCGGCTGTGACTTGTGTTTCAGGAGGTCAGAGGGAGATTTCTGTAAAATGTGTTTCCTTACAGAACCTTAAATAACAGTACCACGGACCGAGGAGGCACCAGGGATAGCTACCGGGCATTCACACTCCTCAAACCGAACGATCACTTGTGAAATGACCGTGAGCGCGTGCCTGGGATCGAACACAGGGAGGAGGCCCGCCTCTGCCTTCCCGCGTTGGCGCGCCCCCGGTCGGCTACTCACTAGACAGAAGGCATTGGTTCTCTCCAGAGCTAGGAGCTGCGTCAGAGGCAGCAGCGCTTTCATCTGTGCTCTCCCCGGCCCAACGGCTCGTGCCACCGAGATGCGGAGCCTGGCTCCTTCGCCCAGGATGGACCGTCCGTCCTGAGGACGGTGACGCGGTGAGAGGCCGAGGCCGTGACCTCTGCAGGCCCTCGCAACCGGAAGGCTCTAGCGCTGCTACTGTTGGGACCACGGAATCCCACGTGTAGCGAGGTGCTTCTACCACCTAGAAACCACCTTTCATCTCGGAGGATGACTTCTTCACAGTACAATTTGATAGTATCCATAGACTTTTCTTTTTTAAGTTTTAAAACTGGGATTCACTTAATTGCAGAGGACTGTTCTAAGATGAAGAATATGGAAATGCTACAATTTATACAGAAAATGATTAATTGTGGAAAATGTAGACAAAGGGCTTGGAATTAATGTTAAGGAGGTATTAGCACACGTCCACAGGGGTTGTCTATTGTATGATTTTGCAATGGACAGCAAGCTATAAAAATAATACAATAATTGTTCAGTTGGAGCAGCTAAGGAATAAAGTAAGCCTTAAAGGAATTCCCATTTTTGAAAATGTCGGTCATAGAAACTCAGCATCACATTAAGTTGTGATCAAACCACGTAGCTCGCTTACTGAGCACAGCAGCAGAACCCACGCCAAAGGCCGGCCGCTCCCCGCGGATACAGGACAGAGACTTAAAATGTGTACCTTTACCGAATGCAGGAAAAGCTCTGAAATCAATCTCCAAATGCAACAGGAGTTTTCTGACACAATCAAAAGATGAGCTTCACTTTTGATTACAAAGGGTGTTATTTGCCAGGATCCACACGTGATTTTCTCACTAGCACAGTTCATACACTCTCCTGCTATTTTTGGACCAGATGTGGAGTCAGCAAGTGCTTCAGTCATGCAGGTAAAATGTTCCAGTGGACAGTCTATTAGGATAAACCAATGTTAGCAACTGTTACTCTGCTAAGGCTGCCATCCAATTTTAGGCACAATTTACATTTTCTAACTTTATAGTGTCCACAGCTACGTATGCCTTTGGTAACTACGGCCCCTTGGGAAGCATCACTTATTTGCATCTCCAATGTGAACCGGGACTACGATGTTTGCCCACTTATAAATAACAGGGACGAAAAGCCCAAGAGATCCAACCACTGAAACCAGAAGAAAAGTCCACAGAAACATCCGATCAAGCACCTGTGCTATGAATTTCCAATCTTCAACGACCTGTTGCAAAAAAAGAAAAAAAAAAACCACACATACATTAAATGCATGATTTAAAATTGCGTGATTACCCTAAGATACTACACACGAGGTTAGAGGCGAGATGAGTTTCCACCTCGCAGCAGTGAAGGACCCTGGGCTCAGCTTGAGGACACACTTCCTGGCAGGGACTCCACAAGCTTTCAGACATGCCACGCAGTCTATTAATTCACACTTGGATTTGTCATAGATTACAAGTGGCATATTTTGATAGATTTTTAATAAAAATCAGGAATATACTACTTATTTTATAATAAACTAAAATCTCTTTGATTCTTATTATATAGTTATTTCTGTTATTTGTTCTTGCCCAGCGCTGTGTACTTATTTTAGTTTTCAAAGAGAATCCAGCCTGAACCTAATTAATTTCAAGCCAAATTAAAAGTTGGTTCGGAATAATAACTATTAGCGGTTAATCTTCTTCCCCGCCCCACAACCTGCATTATTTAGTTTTGGATTCCCTGGGGGTCATTTTAATCTAAACTCATGAATTCAGATCTGCCGGCCTGGACCTCACTTCATCCCTCATTTTGCAGCCTGAGCAGGAAGCGAGCTCCGCAGTTGTGAGTGACCTCAAGGGAAGGGCAGACGGACCAGCCCCTGAGCTCCAGGGACTGCCCCCCTGCAGGGCCTCCCCTCACCCCTGCCTTGTGAAGCAGGAGGTTCCCCCATGGGAGCTCCGCCCCCCAGTTGTGGGATAATGTGGACTTCAGGGGGCTGTAAACACTCTACTTTCCCTGAAAATAAAATCTATTTACTGGCTCCAGGGGGATAGGCCCTGGCCCTTCTGCATAATAACACTTTATAGACATTCATTAAATCCCATCTCAATCCAAATCATTATTCAGCTGACACCTATATTTTTTAAGTCTCCATCGATCACTTCAGACCTCATAAACTAATCATACTACGATGAAATAGAAACTTTGTAAGTCCACAAGCATTAAAAAGTTTTTCAGAAATATATGTCTATATGTTCCTTCTAGGGGAGGGCTGTGATTTTACCAGATTTGCTTTGATGCTTCCCACACCTGCTACAAATTTTTCCATTTAAAAAAGGCTTCAGAAATGAGAATTCAGATAATTTTCATGGGAGTATTCAAAACAGATTCAATTATAAAAACACTAGGTTTGGGATCCCTGGGTGGCGCAGCGGTTTGGCGCCTGCCTTTGGCCCAGGGCACGATCCTGGAGACCCGGGATCGAATCCCACGTCAGGCTCCCGGTGCATGGAGCCTGCTTCTCCCTCTGCCTGTGTCTCTGCCTCTCTCTCTCTCTCTCTCTCTCTCTCTCTATCTCTATCTCTCTGTGACTATCATAAATAAAAAACAAAACAAAACAAAAAAAAAACACTAGGTTCATAGCTTCAAAAAGTTACACAAGAGAAAGAATAGTGACAAGACTGAAATTTGACGTTTTGAAAGAAAACAATCTAATCACATTAGTAGAATGTATTCATGTTCAATTCTTATATTTTAAATCTTTTTTTGTATTTTAAATCTTAAATAAGAAGCCAATGAGTTATCTTTCCCTAATAAAGTTTTATGTGAGTTTTTATTTTTAAGCAAATTAAGCATACTCTTAAGCACTGTTACTAAATTTCACATGAACACTTTGACATACGATAGATGACACCGAGAATACCTGACTGCTTTTAATTTCACGGACATTCTCTTGTAAATGAACAACAAAAAGACATATTCTAGAAAAAAAAATATCTCGGCGATGTTGATAAAGCCTACATGAGGCTCACTCATTAAAAAATAACTTGTGATAAATGATCATGCCAAGTTGTACCTCCGGATTGTCACAGACTCAGACACAACGTAGGTAAGTGAAAGCAACCCGGCAAGACCACGGCGGGATTGTTACTCCTCTACACAGCAGGAGCAGCTGGGGGACCTGGGAAGGGAGGCCCGGGGACGCCCCCGGGGTGACGAGGCCGAGCTCTCCGCCGGCAGCAGGCCGCACCCCCGCCCTTGACCTGAGCCACCGGCTCCCCGGCCTTGCAGGCGCACAAGCATCCGTAAGCACCACGTGTCACAGACCTCACGGACGTCGTTCTCCTTCCTGACGTGCCTGGTGATGTAGCGGATCGAATCGAGCGCGGCTTCCAACGTGTTTCTCGGAGCCCCCGGGCTCCCCACGCCCCCGGTCCCCGCCTGGGCGAAGTACCTGTCTGTGTGGCTTCTCATGCAGAGCACCTTGGGGAGCTTGTGGAGAAAGATCTTGCGCACCCAGGGTGCCATGGCATCGTGCGTCGAGGAGGAACGGTGGTGGATGTTGATGGCGAAGACGGTTACCATGATGGACAGAGTCACGAAAATCATGGTGAACACCAGGTACTCTCCGATCAGGGGGATCACTTTGGACGACGAGGGTATGATCTCCTCGATCACCAGCAGGAAGACAGTCAGAGAGACCAGGACTGACGTGCAGAGGCAGATCTTCTCGCCCTCGTTGGAGGGGAGGTAGAAGACGAGCACCGTTAAAAACGAGAGCCCGATGCAGGGTATGATGAGGAACAAGGTGTAGAAGAGAGGCAGACGCTTGATCACAAACGAGTACGTGACGTACGGGTACCAGCAGGTGCTGTCCGTCCTGTTCCCTCTGCTCCCGGTGGCGCTGACAATCTCCCATTCTCCGTTGTCGAAAAAGTCTCTCTTGTCCACGTCTTGGTCCTCCAAGATGATATCGACCTGTGATCCATCGTAAGTCCAGGAACCAAACTTCATGGAGCAGTTTTGGACGTCAAATGGGAAAAACGTGACATCTATGGTACAGGAACTCTTGTAGTTCGCGGGGGGCATCCAGGTGACCGTGCCATCGTACCTGACCACCGCTTTCGTGCTGGTCCCTTCAAAACGGCCATCGGCACTGAAATAAACACACGCACGTGACAGCGCAAAGACTGGGGAGCCCTGGCAGGCCTGTCACAGGCTGGGGGGGGGGGAGCCCGGCCAATGAGATGCTCTGTAGGTTGTGATGCAGGAGATACACCCGCTGCATGTAGGGGACCTGTCCCACGGCCGTCTTCCCTAAATAGACAACCTTCCTAGACCTGGACTCCTTCCACATGGACCCACGACTGATGATCACATCTGTACTTCACAGGACCATGAGATTTTAGAGCCCGAAAGATTTCCCTTTACTCACAAAACATAATTCGGCTATTTGAACAATAGGATAGCAGCCAGCTGCTGAGTCCACGTGCCTCGACGCCCCACACGGCGCTATTCCCCGCTAGCAAATACTGGGTGCTTGCTGCCTGGGCAGGGAAGAGCATCAGTGCTCAGCCATGCCTCTAAGCCCCGCTGCCCCGCGAACTCATGTTCTGGGAAAGTCTACCGACACAAGATTTCTTTGAAATATTGTTTATCCTAAAACTCATGTGGCTTTTGCTAGACTCACATTTATGTAAAAACGTCTTCAGGGGCCTGGAGTAAGGTGATGCTCTGGGAAACTATGTCCTGTTACCTTACAGCCTCTTGCCTCTTAACATATGAAGAAGCGTGCAGGGAAACGGTATTTAGAGATGAATATTTCTACACAGCATTTGCTCTGTCTTCATGCCAAGTGCGTTCTTGCGAATACTCCAAAGTGCTTTAGGGTAAGCACAAATTCCCAGATTTGCTCTGGGGTGATCCTAGAAAAACTGAAACTCGATCCCAGAATTATCTGTTCCCCAAGTTAAAAACCATCCTGAAAATAGACGTGGGTAGGACACCTATAAAGATGAGTGCACAGCCCCCGTCATGGGATAATTACAATACAGTATTTAAGCAAAATTAGAAGCACATCTAAACATAAGTGTGACCTCAACTATTTTTTTAAATATCCCCAAATCTGGAAGGTAATCTGCCCAATATTTGGTCTGTTAAGTAGGAGGCTGAACAGAGATGCCAGGCTGCCCGTGTAAACCCCACCCCGCCACATGCAACTGTGTGATCTTGGACAAGGGCACAACACCCTGCCTCTCCTGTTCCTCGTCCATCAAAAACATTATTTTCACAATAGCAATGGGAATCCAATAAAGCACAAGGCCAGGAACTGGGATGGGGTGACAACCCCAGGGCTGGGATAACGGGACTGATTAGGGGTGACACCCCCCAACTTCCATACACTGTTCTGTGCTTTCTAGATGGTTCACAAGTTTTAAAAATCAAAGGACAGGGATCCCTGGGTGGCGCAGCAGTTTGGCGCCTGCCTTTGGCCCAGGGCGCGATCCTGGAGACCCGGGATCGAATCCCACATCAGGCTCCCGGTGCATGGAGCCTGCTTCTCCCTCTGCCTATGTCTCTGCCTCTCTCTCTCTCTCTGTGACTATCATAAATAAATAAAAATTTTAAAAAAATCAAAGGACAGAAGAACACCTCAAAAGGGGGGTGAGGATCCACAGACCCTATTTGCAGTTTCGCAAAACACATAAGATCAAGTCATTTGATCTTACAACTGGACGGTTTTCAAAAGGAAGAATCACTAGTGCCTAATAGAAATACAGTTTTCTTCTAAAAGCATAAAGCAGAATTTGGAATATGACTTACTTATCAAACAAAACGATGTCTGGGGTCCAGAGGGAGTCGGAAGGGACGCGTATCACTTTTATTCCTCCGTAGTCACCAGGGCGCCATCTCAGTTTCACGTCCGTCCACTCCTTCAGAACAAACATGACAGCCTCAGTCGCCGATTGCGATGACATCGACCGTGAAGCATAGTAGAAACAATGCTTTTTGCCAAATCCAGAAATTCCAGACATAAAAGCATCTCTACTCGCCCTAGAGAAAACTCAGCTCCGTGTCTTTGTTGAGTGTGGGAGCACAGCCCCTTCGGTGTCTGCAGCCTTGGTGCCGGGAGACACAGATGAGGACTGTGGCGGGGGCGTGGGGGTGCTCACAGCTGTGTCACCTGCTCCCCTCCCCCCGAGGACACACCCGGGGCTCCAGCCTGGCCACGGAAGAGCCGGCTGCACTGTCCTTGGCTGGACGGGTCCATGCCAGGGGAACGGGACTCATCACACCCTCCACAGAGGTGAACACCTGTCCAGCCTCCATACAGGGACATTCTGTGATCATACGAAGACGCAGCCCCACAAAAGGGGGTGTGCCTTTTGGGAGTTAGGGCCCGGGAACTGGTAGTGGGTATTAAATTAGGGCTGATAAAGGAAGAGCAAAGGGAAGGACACAGCAGCACCTGAGTACAGAGGTCGATGGCCCAGAGGAAAAAGGAGCCCTTCCTACAAAAGGGGCTACGTGCGTAAGAATAATTGATCGCCTGTTTCCGTCTCACTCCAAGTAAGCGCCACAATCCTGGCAGCAGCCCAGGTGCTTGCTAAACCGGGGGCCTCCCCCTGCTTCTCTGACCTCCCCACGGTTCACTCACCTCTACCCACACTGGCCCGCTTGCTCCTCCTTCGACATACCAGGTGCACAGCAGCTGCAGGGCCTTTGCACTTGCTGGCCCCTCTCTGCCTGGATTGCTTCTCCCTGAGATACTCGCATGGCTCATTCTTCTCCTCGCTCAGACATTACCTTCTGAGTGATGCTCTCCCCAACTGTGCTGGTTAAAAGTACATCCCTGACACTACCTCGCCCTCTCACCCAGTGAGCTTTCCTCCGAGCTTGTCAGCGTTAAGGTACAACACAGCCTCCTAGCTCCTTTCCCCCATGAGACAGACATTCCCGGGGGCCAGGACTTCTGCCCGGGAAACAGCGCCTGCAGGACAGCAGCCACCCCAGGACTCCCTGGTCGGATACGAGAGCCTCTGGCGTCCTGTCCGTCCGCCAGACCACCTGCTCGTGTTTCTGAAAACCCTACAGTCGCAGCACCAGTGACCTTTTGAATTTTATACACACCTGCTTCAACCAGACGTTCGTTGTCATTAACTGATTTTTCTCATCCTGTAAAACAAAAATTTAAATAAGGCTGATTTCAAGTACAGAAACGTGATGCTTTAAATAAGGATTTTCAGTTTCCTGCACACACCCCGTCCATACTGTACCTACATCCTGCTCATCGATGCAGGTCTCTGGAAAAGCAGCATCACTTTTCCAGCCTAATTTCACATTATTCCTTTCAACATTCTCCGTATTTCAGATAAACTGCCCTGCAGGACACTGCTGGCATCTTGGATGGAACGTTCAGGGACTCAGCTACTCTACGTCCTCAAACCCGAAACACGGTCTAAGGAACAAGCACAGCGTCACCGCGCACTTGGCACTCGAAGGAAGAAGCGGACAGCGAGTTGTGAATCGCCGTGAACTACGACATACGCGGTGATTGCAGAAGAGCCGAAACGGGGGAAGGGGAGGGCCGGAGTCACACCCATTCCCGCATGTCCCCAGGCTGGAACCCGGCGGTGTTCTGTGCCCCGCCGAGCACAGGGCCGCATCGCTGATCTCGGCCGAGCTGAGGTCACTGCCCTGCGCTTGCATGGCCACTTTCCTGGCGAGCTGGGGTCTCAGCCACTTGCTGCTCACACATCCCAGATGGAGCTTTGCTGAGACCGGCTTGTCACTGAGCTTTCGAGGCCTAATTAAAGTGACATCACTTCCGTCACTTTCCCTGAAATACCATGGAGCCTGTGGGACCAGTACAAGACCAGGTGATCGCCAGGTGCCAACTACAGACACCGCTGGCAGGACGGAACGCCAGGTGGGGACACGCACAGCAGTGGGCGCAACCGTAGGCTGGGAGGGAGGACAGGGCTTCAGATGGCTCAGGGCCTGGCGGGACGCCTTCCACAGCAGGTGGGCGGCCCAGGAGAGGAGCGGGCAGAGGACAGAGGCCCTGAAGTCTGACTCAGGAACAATCTGGGGAGTACAGCGCGGGCGTCACTCTTTCACGACGGTTCCAAAGGTCACCTGTCCTTGGAGAGGACCCGGGGGGACCCCCGGGGTGGCTCAGCGGTCAAGCATCTGCGTCCGGCTCAGGGCGTGACCCCGGGGTCCCGGGATCAAGTCCGCACTGGGCTCCTGGAGGGGAGCCTGCGTCTCCCTCTGCCCGTGTCTCTGCCTCTCTGTGTGTGTCTCTCATGAATGGATAAATAAAATCTTTAAGAAAAATTGTTTTAATTAAAAATAAAAGGAGGGATCCCTGGGTGGCGCAGCAGTTTGGTGCCTGCCTTTGGCCCAGGGCACGATCCTGAAGACCCGGGATCGAATCCCACGTCGGGCTCCCGGTGCATGGAACCTGCTTCTCCCTCTGCCTGTGTCTCTGCCTCTCTCTCTCTCTCTGTGACTATCATAAATAAATAAAAAAAATTATTAAAAAAAATAAAATAAAAGGAAACGACCTGGAGATTTTATCTAGTGCAGTTCCTTCATCCCGAAGATAGAGGAACCAGCCCAGCAGGGGGAATGTGCGGAACTGCCCCGGCTGGTGGGAACCGGTTAGAATGGCAAGCTCCTGAGCTTAAGCCCCACAGCAGTGGCCCTACTGTCCGCCCCAAAGTCACACAGCATCAGAGTGAGTGCCGACTGCGCAGCGTACCCCTGGGGCTAAAGCCCTAAATGCAGCCATGAATGACGGGGAAAGTTCTGGTAAACCTCTTACCCATGATGCCACAAGGCAGCAGGTCAGCTTTGAGAATCTAATGAAAATGATAGACCTTTTCCCCAGAAAAATGTGAACGCACACGAATTGTGCACCAGAGGCTAGGACCCAGTCGGCACCCACGTCCTCCACGGGAACACAGATAAAGGAGTGACACCTAAGTTCACAACTGGCCCCAAATGTGGGGCACAGCCCGACGCGAGGAGACCTCAGGTTCCAAGCATCTGTTACGTGTCAGCACCACGTACGATGGGACACAACCCAGAAGGACAAATGCAGGGCTGTCCCCAGGACATGGCGCCGTCGGCAGAGAAGCCACTGTGTGAAGGGGGGAGTGGGGGGGGGGGCGCAGGGCGATGGTTTTGTGACCTGACGATAAAGTTAGCAGCCACCAAATTCAGGCATTTGTCATTAATAATACAAATACAGTCGTCATTTATAAAAGGAAATAATGGGAATTAACTTCTGCCAACAATAGAATATTTAAATAAGTCATAAACGGAACGTCGGATAGACATTAAAATTATATTTATGTATGAAGATTATGGAATGAGGCAGGCAATGCTCTTAATGTGACAAGAGGAGAGAAATGGGTGCTGGGCGGTGCAAGGAGATGTCAGCCACTAGACCGGCACCTGAGGCCAATAGGACACCGCGTGCCCACAGTGGAATTAAGACTGTTTTTAAAATTGTAACGGAACAAAAAACAAGAGGGGAAAAAAGGATTCATTGTGTCAAAATTAATATCCCAATTTGAAAAGTTACACACAAACAACTGGCAAGAAATACAGCAAAATGTCACCACGGGTCACCTCCAGGGGGTGTAAACACAGTCTTTATTCCCTTATTTGTAGTCGTTTGTACTTTCCGAGCTCTCTACAAGCATCCTCACTGCTTCTCTAATTAGGAAATAAAGGCTCCTCTCTAACCATCGCTGTCACCGTGGGCTCTGGGGACGCAGCAGGGAAAGGGCTAGTGACTGCCGTGATCAGAACAAGGAGAAACTAATGTCGACGTTGGCACGAGCTCTGAGTTCGAGGAGAAGGGTCTCGGGATGGCGAGAACTCGTCACAAGGGAACCCACGCTCCCTGGTGGGCGCCACGTGGCAGAGCCTCAGACGTGTCTGAGGCGTGAGACTAAAACGCTGACGGGCTGAGACGCCTTTTGGTACTAACAATATAAAACTCTACTCTTGGACTCTTTCCTCTTTAAAATGTTGACTTTTGGGGATCCCTGGGTGGTGCAGCGGTTTGGCGCCTGCCTTTGGCCCAGGGCGCGATCCTGGAGACCCGGGATCGAATCCCACATCGGGCTCCCGGTACATGGAGCCTGCTTCTCTGCCTGTGTCTCTGCCTCTCTCTCTCTCTCTGTGACTATAATAAATAAATAAATAAATAAATAAATAATAAATAAATAAATAAATAAATAAATAAATAAATAAATAAATAAATAAATAAATAATAATAAATAAAATAAAAATAAAATAAAATGTTGACTTTTTAAAATCATATTTTTTAAAAAATGTAATGAGAAGCTTCCATATAAAATATTTCCTATTTTTGACCTTATTCAATTTTTTTAATTTTTTTATTTATTTATGATAGTCACAGAGAGAGAGAGAGAGAGAGGCAGAGACACAGGCAGAGGGAGAAGCAGGCTCCATGCACCGGGAGCCCGACGTGGGATTTGATCCCGGGTCTCCTGGATCGCACCCTGGGCCAAAGGCAGGCGCCAAACCACTGCACCACCCAGGGATCCCTTCTTTTTTAAATTTTTTTTAATTTTTTTATTTATTTATGATAGTCACAGAGAGAGAGAGAGGAGGCAGAGACACAGGCAGAGGGGTTTGACCTTATTCAAAATAAACCTACAATAATTACCAGATCAGTGATTTATTTGTAAACTCCTCAATGTCATGCAAACAGTGCATCCCAGTGCCCGCAGCAACCACTCCTCCCTGCCCGGGCCCCCTGGAAACCCGCTGCCCCCACCCCCGGGCCCATGGCGCCCCCAGAACCTCTGAAATGCAGCATGTGATGCCTGTCACACTTACCACATCCACTAGCTGAGACAGTGCAAGGCCAAACTTTATTTTTATTTTGTCATTCAGGTGTTCCACAGGACGAACCCATCTTTCGTAGTCTTGAAACAAATCCTTAAACAAACTGTCTTCATGTTTTGCCACCAAGGATGGTTCAGCCAATCCTGCATAAAGATTTTTCAAAGTTAGTGTATTAGCTTCTTGCCCACTAAATACCTATGCTTTAAAAAATGTTCGGCTTTATAGGAACCAACCTATTATTTAGGCTATTTTTTTTAAGATTTTATTTTTATTTATTTATCCATGAAAGACACAGAGAGATGCACAAAGAGAGTCAGAGACCCAGGCAGAGGGAGAAGCAGGCTCCATGCAGGGAGCCCAACGCGGGACTCGATCCCGCGACCCCAGGATCACACCCTGGGCCGAAGGCGGTGCTAAACCACTGAGCCACCCAGGCCGCCCATATTTAGGCTATTAATAGAGCCTTTACAATAAAATATTGATACAAATGTTTATGATCAATAAGGCACACTGTGGCTTGGATATATCTCTTAGTAAAATCCGATTACTCATATGGAAACACGCTATGTTCCTTAGGAAACAGTACTTTATACAGAATATTCTAACAAAAGCTTTTAAGCTTTTAAATAAGTTGCCAGGGCTCGAGGAGTTGCTTGGGGAAAAATTCCAAACCTAGAAAACAGAGACTTTGAGGTGCATTTACATCAACTGTAAATGTAAAATTAACAAACTTTCATTTACATGACTGTGCTATACAAACATATAAGCACTGGATGAATTATTCAGATGTCATACCTTTGTTGGCTATATGTTTGCAGACAGTTACCTTAGGGCCTGACACTTAAAAGAGAGAGAGAAACAGAATTTTTTATATTCTAGATGCCATAGCCGCGGAGCGGTTAGATTCCCAGGTCACCGTTATGTTTGTTCTTCTGCCAAGTTGGATTAAGCCTCTGAACAAAGGAGAGTTTTCAGTGTTACGTGCTCCGAGTCCCTGTCAAGGGTCTGAAATGAGTGAAAGTCAAGCCTGACGTTTACCAGGACTCCCAATTTTACAAAGAAAAAGCACTCACTTGAACCAAAACATCGCTGGCTTATTTATGATGAGGGACACACGCAGGACTCTGCAGGCACGAGGGGCCTTCTCCAACGTGACAGAAAACCAGCGCTTTCCCAAGACCTCGTGTCCTTATTAGATCGTGTTCCAGCGGGAGGAAGCCCGCCCTGGTGCCTCTGCCCCGTCCACCCATCAGGAGTGCAGTACACTCCTCTCTCGCTCCCCTGGCAAATTAGGAAACTCGATTTAATCTGTAAATACCATAGACCTTGCACCTGCTTCCCATAAAAGACTCCTTATGTGAAAATGCACAGTGTTGAAGAGATTCCAATTCAACTGGAATGTTATGCACTGGAGAGTCATTCGTTTTATTTATTTATTTATTTTTTTGAGTCATTCGTTTTAATGTTTAAGAGCCGTTAATTCAATAGCATTACTCTCTCCTCTCCTAATCCTGCTTAAAATTTTTATAGCCAAAAGTTTGAGGTTGTTTGAAAGATAAAAATGACAAATAAAATGCATTTTAATAGCATCTAAGAACCTTTTGCCTTAGGGAAAAAGATGCTAGCTTGATTTGCCACCTCGAATCCTGTTTGAAAGAAAGTAGGTGGGGTATAAATACATTGACAAATTAATTCTAACATTCTCTCTAACGACAATCCTTAAGATGCAGCCTCAAAAATATCTTCCTAGTATATCCAATATTAGAAATATTATTTCCTCAACACAATTTTATGGAAATAGTGGGTGCTAATGTCAGTGATGCTTTAGCACAAAACCTTAATCATGCAAATTCTAGGTAGAGGATTTTTAGCCGGTTCTAAATCTTTTTAAGTTTATGCTGCTCATAAGCCTCAGAATGCTTAAAGGAGAGGAGGATACGTGATGGTAGATGCCATGCTACAGGGCTGGTTAGTGGCAGAGCTCTGAAGGGTCTCCAGGGCTCCGCTCCACCTCTCACACCTCTCATGTGAACATTTTCCATCCTGAGACTTTATCAAAGTGCTTAATTAGTGTCACACTCCCTGACAGCTCCAGCCCATACTAATTTTTGCTCACTCATTCAACAAATGTTTCTTGGACAAGTGCCTCGTACTAGGCACTGTGCCCAGTACCGGGCACACAGGGATAAACACAGTCCAGCAGGAAAGACCGACACAGTGCACATGGTGCTACCAAGTTCGATAGAAACTGAATTCAAACTTGAATATGCTTTTCAAAAAGTTGTTCTGCACAGTTAACATTTGCTCATTTATTTCCACTCAAAATAAATAATTTAAATCAATTACTTTCAACCTCAGTTCCTTGGAATCCCAGGGCATTTATTTTTCATACTATTTTTCACCAAGATCGTGTATTATTTGACATATACTGCTCTGTGTTCTTTTCCAGTTATATCACATAAGTCTTGGGTCTCCAAAGAAATCAATGCCCTAAAAGGTAGAAATCATTTCTATACTTTGGCGCCTCTACAGTCCTAAGTATAATGCTGATCACAACAGTCACTTTAATACATTTTAGTTTTCTGTCCTGACTTAAAAAGAGGGACCTGGGGATCCCTGGGTGGCGCAGCGGTTTGGCGCCTGCCTTTGGCCCAGGGCGCGATTCTGGAGACCCCAGATCGAGTCCCACGTCGGGCTCCCAGTGCGTGGAGCCTGCTTCTCCCTCTGCCTATGTCTCTGCCTCTTTCTCTCTCTCTCTCTCTGTGTGTGACTATTATAAAAAAAAAATTAAAAAGAGGGACCTGGGAGAAAATATTTGTAGATCATTTATCTGATAAGGGGTGTGTACCTAGACTATATAAAAACCTATTACAAATCAATGATAAAAAGATACAACAACCCAATTTTCAAATGGGTTACTGATCTGAACAGACCTTTCTCGAAAGAACAGCCAGTAAGTGTCTGAAAAGATATTCAACCCCCTTACCCATCAGAAAAATGCCGATCAAAGCTTTAATGAGAGGTGCCTGGCCGGCTCAGTCGATGGAGTGGCGACTCTTGATCTCAGGGTCATGAGTTCAAGCCCCGCATTGGGTGTAGAAACAGGAAATAAATAAATAAATAAATAAATAAATAAATAAATAAATAAATAAATAAATAAATAATTTTTTAAGACCCTACAATGAGTTATCGTTTCACACCCAATACAATGGTTATGATTGAAAACAGAGATAACAAGTGTTGAGAAGGATGTGGAGAAATTGGGACCCTTGTACACTCCTGGTAGGAGTGTAACATGGTGTGATTGCTTTGGAAAACATTTAATAGTCCCTTAAAAAGTTAACTATAGGGTTACGATAGACCTAGCAATTCTACTCTCGGTACATACCCAAGAGAAATGAGAACAGGTGTCCACCCAAAACTTGCACATGAACATTCACAGCGGCATTTTTCATAATAGCTAAAAGGTGGAAACAACCCAGATGCCTATTAAATGATAAATGGATAGATGAAATGTGGAATACCCAATGGAATATTATTTTGTCATTAAAATGAATTAATGAGGGGATCCCGGGAGGAGGGGCAAGACGGCGGAAGAGCAGGGTCCCCAAATCACCTGTCCCCACCAAATTACCTAGATAACCTTCAAATCATCCTGAAAATCTACGAATTCGGCCTGAGATGTAAAGAGAGACCAGCTGGAACGCTACAGTGAGAAGAGTTCGCGCTTCTATCAAGGTAGGAAGACGGGGAAAAAGAAATAAAGGAACAAAAGGCCTCCGAGGGGGAGGGGCCCCGCGAGGAGCCGGGCTGAGGCCGGGGCGAGTGTCCCCAGGACAGGAGAGCCCCGTCCCGGAGGAGCAGGAGCTGCACCAACCTTCCCGGCGGGCGGAAAGGGGCTCGCAGGGAGGTGGAGCAGGACCCAGGAGGGCGGGGATGCCCTCGGGCTCCCGGGGACACTAACAGACACCTGCGCCCCGGGAGAGTGCGCCGAGCTCCCTAAGGGCTGCAGCGCGCACGGCGGGCCCGGAGCAGCTCGGAGGGGCTCGGGCGGCGGCTCCGCGGAGGGGGCTGCGGGGCGGGAGCGCGAATCCACCAGCGCAGGCCCCGGAGCACAGGGCGCCGGGACACAGCCCAGGATCCGGCCTCCCCCGGGACAGGCAGAGGCCGGGAGGGCCCAGGACAGCGAGGACGCTCCTGCCCCGAGCTGAGCAGATCAGCGGCCCCGCCCCGGAGCCTCCAGGCCCTGCAGACTGAGAGCCCAGTAGTTCCTGCGGGGGCTGACTCCAGGGCTGCAGAGCTGGCCCCGCCACTGCGGCTGTTCCTCCTGGGGCCTCACGGGGTAAACAACCCCCGCTGAGCCCTGCAGCAGGCAGGGGCAGAGCAGCTCCCCCAAGTGCTAACACCTGAAAATCAGCACAGCAGGACCCTCCCCAGGAAGACCAGCTGGACGGACCAGTTCCAGGGGAAGTCAAGGGACTTAAAGTCTACAGATTCAGAAGATACTCCCCCGTGTTTTTTTCGTTTTTTTTCTTTTTTCTTTTCTTTTTGATTTCTGATTGCTTCCCCCACCTCCCTCTTTTTTTTCACCTTTCTTTCTTTTTCTTCTCTTTTTTCCTTTTTTTTCTTCTTTTTCTTTTTTCTTTTTCTCTTTTCTTTCCTTCTCTCTCTTTCTCTCCTTTTCCCAATACAACTTGTTTTTGGCCACTCTGCACTGAGCAAAATGACTAGAAGGAAAACCTCACCTCAAAAGAAAGAATCAGAAACAGCCCTCTCTCCCACAGAGTTACAAAATCTGCATTACAATTCAATGTCAGAAAGCCAATTCAGAAGCACTATTATACAGCTACTGGTGGCTCTAGAAAAAAGCATTAAGGACTCACGAGACTTCATGACTGCAGAATTTAGATCCAATCAGGCAGAAATTAAAAATCAATTGAATGAGATGCAATCCAAACTAGAAGTCCTAACGACGAGGGTTAACGAGGTGGAAGAACGAGTGAGTGACATAGAAGACAAGTTAATGGCAAAGAGGGAAACTGAGGAAAAAAGAGACAGACAATTAAAAGACCATGAGACAGATTAAGGGAAATAAATGACAGCCTAAGGAAGAAAAACCTACGTTTAATTGGGGTTCCCGAGG